AGTAAATAGTTGGAAATGTTGTGGAGGATAGCTCTAGAGAGTGAAAAGGGGCTGGCCAAATAAGCAGAGGTTTACAGAGGGCATTCCAGATGGGAAATCCCTGTTTTTAAAGACTTAGAGATTTGAAAGGTGCAGGAAGAATCATTATAGCATTGAGTTAGAGGTTGGGTTGTAGGAGATGAGGTTGCCCCTGTAGGTGATGGAGCAGACCATGAAGAGCCTTCCTCCATGGAAAGAAGTTTTATCTTGGTAAAATTATTTTTTAGTAGTTAAACTGCTGCTTTGAAAGTTAGTTGTTGGGGGCCGGCACTGTGGTACAGCAAGTTAAAGCCCTGGCCTGAAGCGCTGGCATCCCACATGGGTGCCGGTTGTAGTCACGGCTGCTCCTCTTCTGATGCAGCTCTCTGCTATGGCCTAGGATAGCAGTGGAAGATGGCCCAAGTCCTTGGGCCCCTGCACCCACGTGAGAGACCTGGAAGAAGCTCCTGGCTCCTGGCTTCGGATCCGCAAAGCTCCGGCTGTGTTGCAGCATCTGGGGAGTGAACCAGCAGATGGAAGACCTCTCTCTCTGTCTCTGTCTCTCTCTGTAACTCTGTCTTTCAAATAAATAAAATAAATCTTAAAAAAAAAAGTTAGTTGTAGGAGTTAAACCAATGGTTTACCATTTCTTTTTTTTTTTTAAGATTTATTTTATTTATTTGAAAGAGTTACAGAAAGAGTTCAAGACAGAGAGAGGTCTTCCATTGGTTGACTCACTCCCCAGCTGGAGCTGCACAGATCCGAAGCCAGTAGCCAGGAGCTTCCTCCAGGTCTCCCATGCGGGTGCAGGGGCTCAAGGACTTGGGCCATCCTCCACTGCTTTCCCAGGCCACAGCAGAGAGCTGGATCGGAAGAGGAGCTGCCGGGACTAGAACTGGTGCCCATATGGGATGCCAGTGCTTCAGGCCAGGGCTTTAACCTACTATGGCCATAGCACCGGCCCCTGGTTTACCATTTCACATCTCATTCTGTGCCAGGTACCTATAATCCCTAATGCAGAGTTGGTATCTTCTCATATTATAGTTCGGAAGCTGAGTCTGGGAGAGACTAATTGACTTGCCCAAATTTTCACAGCTGCTAAGTCAAAGAACTAGGATTCAAACTTAAGTCAGTGGTGTGTACAACTCCCAAGTACTCTTTAAACTAGATTTTACAGCCTCTCCATCAGTGAAGAAGCTGTATATTTTGACTTTTTCCAGATAGTCTGCCTTCCTCACATCATTCTCAACTGTAGTACACTCAAAATGTTGATCTAAGTTTTAAAAATTAAGAGACTCATCAATACAACTTGGTCTTTTGAAAGTCCAAAATGGTATCATAGTAACTTACTTCATATTCTGGTACCATCTTTTCTCTAAACAGTTTTCAAATAACTGTCTCTTGGCTTAATGAAATGCCTTTTTTTGTTTGTTTGTTCATCACTGAATGTCATGGGCCAATCAGGTGTAATTGTTATAAATCTGAAGGAAAACATTTTGAAGTAGTACTTCATTTTGTTGAGACATTTAGATCTTAGTCTTCAACATACAAAAATAATACCCCAAGTAGTAGTAATTTAAACTTGATAAGAAAAAACAAAATTAATTTTGATAGTCTACTAATACAGCTAACTATTTGACTAATGAATTCTACTTCATATAGAATAATGCTTGTATGCTAGGCTAGCTTGAAGTACTTTAGGTGTTATATATTAACCCTGCAGTATCTTTGGCTACCCTGGGGTAAGAGTCTTCCTAATTCCAATGGCTACTAAAATGTGGTAAGTTCTGGAGATGAGTGGTGGTGATGATGCACTTAATGCTACCAGACTGTACAGCTACCATGGTCAATTTCACATAAGTGTATTTCACCACAGTTTTAAAGCACATGTGGTACCGAAGTTGAGAGTGGCCTGAGATCTCTTACTCAATCATCAGGCAAAAAAAAAATTTTTTTTTTGACAGGCAGAGTTAGAGAGAGAGAAAGGTCTTTCTTCCCTTGGTTCGCTCCCCAAATGGCCAGGAACCAGGGGCTTCCTCCTGGTCTCCCATGGGGTGCAGGGCCCAAGCACTTGGGCCATCCTCCATTGCCTTCCTGGGCCACAGCAGAGAGCTGGCCTGGAAGAGGAGCAACCGGGACAGAATCCAGCACCCCGACCGGGACTAGAACCCGGTGTGCCGGTGCCGCAAGGCGGAGGATTAGCCTAGTGAGCCGTGGTGCCGGCCCTGGCAGATATTTTTGAGAGCTTTTTGTTTCAGGAAGCTTGAATAAGATGTGACCGTGTAGGCTGATCAATTTAAACATTCTGTGTACCAAGAGAATCCTGTTGCTTGAGCGCAAGGCTAGAGGAGGAAGCATGGCAATGAGTGAGTCTTGTGCGCAGGCATTATCAGGGTGGATGGGATGCTGAAGATGCTCTTCACACTGAATGCTCTTGATGTCCTGCTCTGAAGGACAGCCAAGGAGCTAAGTGGTCAAGCTGTTGGGTGCCCCAACTCTACCAGTGTCAGGGGAAATTAAGTTGTCACCCATTAGCCTCACAAAAAGCAAAACATGCTGGTGGGGGTATAGGAAATATGCACAGTGTTTATGAGTGTGAATTGTGGTATTTTTTGGAAAGTTAACCTAGTAATAACTATTAGTCATTTATTTTAAAAGCTTACTTATTTGGAGTCAGCGCCATGGCGTGTTAAGTTGAGCCTCCACCTGCAGTGCCAGCATCCCATATGGCACCAGTTCTTGTCTCAGCTTCCCCTCTTCCCATCCAGCTCTCTGCTATGGCCCGGGAAAGCAGTGGAAGATGGCCCAAGTGGTTGGGCCCTTGCACCCACATGGGAGACCTGGAAGAAGCTCCTGGTTCCTGGCTTCGGATCGGCCATTTGGGGAGTGAACCAGTGGATAGAAGATTCTCTCTCTCTTCTCTCTCTCTCCCTCCCTCCCTCCCTCTCCCCCTTTTCTGTTATTCTGCCTCTCAAATAAATAAATCTTTTTAAAATGTATTTATTTATCATCTGAAAGGCAGAATTATAGTGATAAAGTGAGAGACAGATATCTTACATCTGCTGTTCACTCCTCAAAAGGCTACAAGGCCAGGGCTGGGCCAGACCAAAGCCAGGGACCTGGAACACTATCCCTGTCTTCCTCGTGGGTGCAGGCGCCCAGTCACTTGGGTCATCTTCCATTGCTTTCTCAAAGGTGCATTTCCCAGGCTCAGAAGTGGAGCAGCTGGGACTGGAACTGGCACTCCTACAGGATGCAGATGGCCTGTTAACCTGCTGCATCACAATGCTGGCCCCACTGTTAAGTCATTTTTAAATAGATATACTGGATTTGACACTATTGTACAGGGACATTCGTACAAGAATTTTTTTTCCTGTGTTGTTCATAGTGACAAAAAAGTGGAAGCATTCTCAAAGCCAGTCAGGAAATGGTTTAATAAATTCTGCTCTATCCATCCAAAGAACAAGATGCAGCTATTGAAAGATGAGCTAAATCTCTATATATTAGCCTGAAATGAATGTTGTGCCATATTATGCATTTAAAAAGTCTAATATATAGTCTATAAAAGAAAAACTATATTCGGTATATGTTTGAGATTAGAGAAAAAGTGTCAAAGGATTCATATCACACTGTTAGAACTGATTCAGGGAGGTAAGCTTGGAGTCTGAGTGAAGTAACTTTGCTGTACAACCGTGTTGTTCAGTTTCTCACTAATGCAGTGATTTTTGTGATTTCCTAAGTTTTTGAAGTTGAAAGAGGGAAGGGAAGAAATCTACAGTGATGGTTGTATCAAAGGTACTTTGGGGAGAGTTAGTGACCAGGAGTGGGCACCGCAGAGACCTCTTGGCAGTGGTTAATGATCTCTGTCTTGAGCTGGGTGTTGGTGGCACAATTGTGTTCACTTTGTAAAAGTCCATGTCGTTATATGCTTACAATTTGTACAATTTTGTGTCTATATAATACAAATTAAGAGTTTATAAATACAGTGAAATACTGTTATGTTTTCTTAAAATATTTTCAGTAACTATGCAATGACCTATAAAGTCAGGCAAGAATGAGAACAAGCCTGTTATTATAAAATACATGTACATATAAACACACAGGATGAAGGCTGGAATAAAAACACTACAACGCAGTAGTATTTTGTTCAGATGATGGTTGTTTTTGTTTATGAGGTTTTTATTTGTTTTAAGTTAGAACAGTTTATTGAATTAGGTCATTTAGGAAGTCAGTGGAAGGTGGTGAGCAGTCAGACACAGGATATAAGCAGAAAATAAAGGTGAAGAAGGGGAGAGGAAAAGGCATTAAAAAACAAAAAGCTAATTCGAGTTAGGGTAATTTTTTTTCTTTCTGCTAGGAGGGTACTTTTACCAACTTCAGCTCTCAAACTATCATGTAGTCCTGGCTGTAGTAAAAATCATCTTGATCAAAGTCAGTGTGGCCTATAAAAATAACTCTCACTTGATACTTAAATTGTGTTAAGCATTTCCTTTTTTTTAATGAAAGTGTCATTGATATAACGTTTCAGTTGACCTTGACAGATGTGCCTCGTAGTAGCTTGGGAAACCCACATTCTCCTCCCAGCCTTCACCGGTTAACTGTGGTACTTTGCTCAGACTCCTCCCTCCATAGTTCCCACATGGGGCCGGAAATTCACTGGATTGTGGACTGTAGTGACAATCAAGTGAGAAAATGTATGTGAAGATGCTTTAATACAAACACTACCCCATTGTAGAACATTACTTTTTTTGTTTTTCCCTGAACCCAAAGTCTTTATTTCACAGTGAAATTTATTTCACTTAATCAGTTATAAAGTTTGTTTATGGAGGAGTGCAGTTTTTTTTTTTCAGTCAAGTTCTGTTAATGTTTTTCGAGGTGCGAGTTGTGATTGCAATATGTTTAGTACTGTAGACTACATATTAGTATTTATTAATGTATCAAATTGAAACGTAAACATTTCCATTGTTTCTCGCTAATTACGGTCGCGCCCTCGGGAATCATCAGGCTTTCCCTGCATTTCAGTCATTCTTCGGCTTTCCACCACTTTTATTTAAATGAATCATCCCTAGAGATCTCGTCAGGTGTTTTGCAGGGGTTTTGGTAAGGACTCTACTTCTGATTAGCCCTGAAAGCAGTAGTCATCCGACGGAATTGGAGTTGGGCTGCAGAAGCTGCGTGGCGCTAGGACCCAGGGGGCTCCCGAGAGCGGATCTTGGGGCCAGATTGCAAATTCGCGGTGACTCAGTCTGGTCGGCTCCTTGCGCTCGGCGGCCGCGGCGGCGGCGGCAGACGTTGGCGGCCAAGCTGCTGCGAGCAGTTCCGCCGGCCTTCTGCGTCCGAGACTTCCTGCGGGGCACCCGAGGCAGGTCCGCGGCGCGTGGGGAGCGCCGGGGCCGCCGTGGCGGGCGGCAGGGGCGGCCGGGCGCGGGCCGCCGTGGGGCCTGTGCACGGGGACTAACATTTGCGCCGTCTCTTCCTGTGTCTGGCTTTATTTGCAGCAAACCAAGATGGAGTATGAGTGGAAACCCGACGAGCAAGGGCTCCAGCAGATCCTGCAGCTGCTGAAGGAGTCTCAGTCGCCCGACACCACCATCCAGAGGACCGTGCAACAAGTATCCTTCCGAGGCCTGGCCGGCGCCCGCGCCCGCGCCCCGCGCGCCGGGCCGGCTCCCCGCGGCCGGGGGCGCCCGCGCCCCTCCCCCGCCCGCCCCGCGCCGCCGCCCCTGCCCGGGCCTCGGCACGCGGCCCTCTCGCCGGGCGCGGGCGCCGCCGCGTGGGGCTCCCGCGCGGGGCCGCCGGCTTCCGGGCCGCCGCCCGAGACCGCGACATGTGCGCGGGCCCGGCCGCCACGTCCCCGCCCGCCGCCGACTTGGTGGGGTGAGGTGCGGCCCGGGCCCACACAATGCGCCCCGCGGGTGGGGGCGGCGCAGCCGGCGGCCGGCCGGCTCCAAATGGGTGGAGCTGGCGCGGGGTTTGAACTGCCGCCGTGTCGGGCTTGGGGGCTTTTTCCTGGCCCTTGTCCTAGAAGGGCTGGAAACCCACTGGTGGAGAAGTGGGGTCTCTGTCCGGGCCTCGGCCTGGGCCTGCTGGCGTGAACACCTGTTGCGAGTTCCCTGGCACTCGGGTGAGGTTTTCTTTTTAAAGCTCTGGCCCAAGGCATCTGCGCCTGTACCGAGCGAGGGTGCTGGGGTAGTGGTCCCGCGGCCGCGGCTTGCGTCGAGGAGGTGGGACCTCCGCGGTGCTGGCTTGCGGAGGGCGCAGGCCCCCTCGGCCCGTCGGCAGCCGGCGCTCGCCACTGCTGCGCGCTTGGAGCTTGGTGAAACCCAGAACGCCCTGAAGACGAAGTTATTAGCCACAGTGTTAGAGGCAGTGCTGCATTGCCGTAACCTACAGCCCTCAATAGATGACTAATAAGTACCTAGCCCCTTGGTTAATAGAACACTGCCCGAGTAGATGTAGGGGGTAGTGATTTAGATCTGCTGGGATTGTTTTTTTTAAAGCCGTTTTGTCTGAATCCTGCTTATAACAAGGAAAGAACTGGAGTTGGAGAGGTGTTGGAGTTTGTGTCTGCAGCCCTGCTGTGTCTTGGTCTTCATTTGTGTTGTAGCTCTAGGAATAATAGAAGTTGACAGTTGTAGGTATTATGTGACACAATTATCAGTTCTTAAATTAGCCAAGCCCAAGAACTTCATTGTGAATTTTTTCTGTTGTACTAGTATAATATCATTTCTCGTTTTAATACATGTTTATTAAATTTTTTTATATGTCTACTGCTGTTTTGGGGCCAGTAGTCCATTTACAGTTTATGTGCCTATAGTGTGTCCTCTGAGCAGGAACAGATTGCTGTTACTGAGGCAGGAAAACAGTGTTTTAACTAAAAATAATACACTGCTTTATACTTTCAGAGTGCTAGGGGTTGCCCTTGTTCTTTTTGTGTCTTCTAAGAAAATAATATATTTAATTTTCATTTTGTATAGGCTTGAGCGCTTTTTGAAAAGAGGGCTAGAATAATAGCTATAGACTGAGTTGTAAGAAAGTAAACTGAATCAGAAAATATTTATGAAAAATTTATTGGCAAGTCCCAAAGCTGTTACTCCTGGCTGATCTTCAGTAAAGCAAGAAATTGTTATGGGATATTTCGTAGTTACACCTTGGAGTTTTACTAGAGAATATTTTGCTAATTTACATTATGATACTGAAGTTTGGGGATATTCAAGCATGTAATAAATAGCTGATACAGTGTGCCTAAAGTTTGTATCACAGATTTAATAAGAAATTTGGGTTTGTTGAATAAAAACATGGTAATCGTTCTGTGTAGGAAAACATGGAAAGCGCATTAGTCAAATCTTGAGGAAAGAAAGATAAAATAGAGCATCATGTCTGTTGCCTGCCAGCAGCTATGAAATACCTGCACATCTGTTCTCACTGGAGATGTTAGATGAGGGAGAGTCAGTTGTAAAACTTACAGTACAGTATCCTGCCATCGGATCAGCGCGGTGCACCAGCCGCAGCGGCCATTGGAGGGTGAACCAACGGCAAAAGGAAGAGCTTTCTGTCTCTCTCTCTCTCTCTCACTGTCTACTCTGCCTGTCAAAAAAAATTAAAAAAAAAACAAAACTTACAGTACAGTAACCTTATGATGCTGACTTTAGTAAGATATGATAGACTTTTGCATAAAAAGTGTTTTAACTTTTGAAATTCTAAAGGACAAACGAGTACAAAGAGTATCTCTTGTTGTTCTAAAACTATTTCATAAAATTAATTTCCCTTACTGATCTTTAACTAAAAAATTTATTTTGGAATGCTTTTCATTGTCACCGTTTTATACTTAAAGTTAAGTTTTGGTTAGGATGTTTTAAAGTTGTCAAGTATAAGAATTCTTGAAAAATTTTTTGCTATATTAAACGTGAGGCTGGAACTTCAGTATTCATTGAATATCATTGCAATAAATAGATTTTATAAATTAACCACCTTCTTAGTAAAAAATGCAAGGCAAAAATATCACAAAGACTTTTTTTCTTAGGTTACACAGAGAAGTTTCCTTAACTACTATTTGTTCTAGAAACTGGAACAACTCAATCAATATCCAGATTTTAACAACTACCTGATTTTTGTTCTGACAAAATTAAAATCTGAAGGTAAGTAAGGTTTGTGTTGATAGCTATTTAAAAATCTTTTTAAGACTATTTAAATGTTACCCATCTAAAAGGATTTTGTTTTGTGATAACTGCATGCTTTGCAGAAGTGGCATGGAGAGGCCTAGTTACTGCCACTGTAAGCAATTAGATGTATAATAAGTATTCAGTTCCCTTTCTTCACAAGTGGAAAATGTGTTGTTGAGTCTACTTTGGTGTTTCACTTCAGTGCTTGTATATGAGTTGAATGGATGAAAACTGATTTCCTTTAATGTATAGTTTGATGCAGGGTTTAATAATTGCCTAAGTATATGTACATTCATTGCAGAAAAATTTGAAAGGTCATAGAACCCAAGTGAAAAATATCCTATCATCTAGGGATAATTTCTGTTGACCTCTTGAATCATGTTTTCACACTTTTTCATGTAGCAATGTACTTCTTTAAAACTGACCTCAAAAAAGGGACCATTTTATTCATAAACTCTAGTAACATTTTAAAAACTTACACTAGTATACAGGAAACTTTTATTAGCTGTTCTAAGCAATTTAAAATTTAAGTTGCCTCTGACAATTTAAAGCATGAAGAGTCTGATTTTTAAACGACATGGTCATTGGCTTATTTGTGATCACATAATGTGTCCCAGTAGACTTCATTTCACAAATACTTATTGAGCCCCACCTCTTTGCCAGGCAATTTACAGGCTAATAGGAGTGCAATACTTGTGAACAAAACAAACAAAAATCTCTGTCCTCAAGGAGCTTACACTGTAGTGAGAAGTGTTCTTAATAGCATTATGTGAACATTGCCCAACACATAGAAAACACTCAAAATATTTATTGACAATTAACTGGCCCCTAAAGGAAAGTGACGTATTCTATTAAATGATTAGTGTTTTAGAAGCTATCTCAGGATTACTGAAAACTACTGCACTTGGAGTTGAGAAATGCATGTTAGACTCTTAAGTCATTTAACCTCTGTTGCTTTTTTCAGCTATAAAATGCCTTGTACTTTATAGACAACCAGACCACCCACCAGGGTTCAGCTCCAAACGCAGGCAGGTTAAATGTGTAGTGGAAACTCACTAATCTTGTGTTCAGATTTTGATAATTCATACACAATATGGTGATTCCATTTATGTTGTTTTCAGATGATTTTCTGGTTAATATTTGTGGGTTTTAATTTATGATTGGGGGCATAATAGAAAATTTAAAGCTTTAAATTTAGTTTCTAAGAATTAGTAATTTCAGCACATTTTTAAATACAGCAGCATTCTAGTATGATAAATATATCTATGATACATGATTTCTTAATACAGAAATTTTTCTCGCAGTCATTTGTAATCAATAATCAGTGCTATTTGGTTTTTGAATATTCAGTAAGTGGACTTTCCTAATATAAAATTATCTTGGAAATTTAAAATTCTGATAAGCTGCCTATTCTGTCATGTTTTCACCCTAGATTCCAAATACTTTTTAAAGAAGATATATTTATTTATTTATTTAGAAGTCAGAGTTACACAGAGAGAAGGAGAGGCAGAGAGAGAGAAAGAGAGAAAGATCTTCCATCTGCTGGTTCATTCCCCAGTTGGTCGCAACAGTTGGTTTCACAATCTGAAGCCAGGAGCCAGGAGCTTCTTCCAGGTCTTCCACGTGGGTGTAGGGACCCAAGGACTTGGGCCATCTTCTGCTTTCTCAGGCCATAGTGAAAGCTGTATCAGAAGTGGAACAGCCAGGACTCAAACTGGGACCCATATGGATGCCAGCACTGTAGGCAGCAGCTTCACCTGCTGTACCACAGTGCTGGCCCCAGCCAAATACTTTTAAAATATATCATTTATTAAAGCTTTCTTGGGATATAAAGGTACCTCAGAAGTACTTTTTAAAAAGTTATGCCTCATTTCTCAAAACATACTGAGGTTTTACATGTGTGTGATGCTTGATGTTTCTTTTTGTGTTGATTTTTCCCCCCAGGAAGATTGGGACACAAGTTTGCCATAGCTGGTTTTTCCATTAAAAATTAATCATTGTGGCTGTTTTAGAGAAGGAATACAGATAACACCTTTAAATGATGTATTTTGGGCAGAGTGTATATTTTTAATTTTAATTGTCCTACTCTTACTGTGGTTAATTAAATCTCCCTACCACTCACGCCCAACCTTTTCCCTCTTCTTCCTCTGCCTCTCAAATAAATAAATCATTTTAAACTATTTTGTAGCATTTATTGTAAAAATACACTGTATTTGTGAACAAATATGTATGCCATTTTAATAATTACATGACTAAATTATACGTAGTAAGACAAGATTATTGCTTGAGAAAGTTAAACATCTGATTATTCATTTCCTTGGTGGCAGTTTTAATCTTTTAAGAGAATTTGAAAGCTAAGTCACCTCTGGAATGGGATGTAGTTGAAAATGGGGGCAAATCTTTAGAAGACGCTGGGTCATGTGCATGCACGTGGGTTTCATTGCTGTGATGACCTGAGTGGGGTTTATGTGCAGAGAAACTTTGCTGTTTTTGCCTCTACATGTGCTTCATCCTTGAAGATTTCAGTGCCATTCAGACTTTGGGAACATTAATACTAACTAGAACAAGTTCGGGTTATTTTATTTGTTAATGAGGTAGGTAAAACAGTAGTGTTACAGTAGCATGTTGTGTTCAGTACACCAGCTCTTCATTTTTTGCAGCCCTTGGAGAGGAGAGGCCGAGGATAGAGTAACGTCGTTCTGAGTGTATGCTCTGGAGCCAGACTCCCACGGTTGATAATTTGGTGTCCCACCTAGGGGCCTTTTGTGCCTCTGGCAAGGCCTCTGTTTCGTCATTTGTGCAGAGGGCTTTGTCGTTTCTGTCTCACAAGCTTGTGAAGTACAGTAATAACTGGCAAGCACTTGGAGTGTTTACATATGTAACAAGCATTTAGAGGATGTTAACTATTGCAGATATTGGTGGTGGTGGTGGTGCCAGTTGGTAAAGCATTGCTTCTAGTTTTCTATTAAATTGATTGAAAATTTGGTAATAGCATTTGTAGATCAAACTCGAAGCTGTATTTTTAAATGTTATTGGAGATTTGGTGGGATTTTTAAGCTCAGAGGCAGGTGAAAAACATATAACCTGACAGATTTGTATGTGAAGTTGATCCCTTATATTCTTTGTACACTTACCGTGTTCAGTGAGATATTTTTAGTGACTAATACTTTCAGATCTATAATGATTACGTCAAAAAACAATAAAGCTTGAATATAGTAGCTACATATAAGCCATATTAAGTCAGACTAAATCAGTGGGTTCAGCAAGGAGCAGATTTACCCCAAGGCGACATTTGGTATTACCTGCAAACATTTCGGTCATCGCAGCTTGGAGGCCTGTTACTGGCATCTTATGACCAGTGATACTAAGAAGCATACTGTGCAGGGCAGTCCTCCACAACAAGAAATTGTCCTCAGAATAGCAGTGTCAAGGCGAAGAAATACTGAATGGTAAATTAGGGTGATTGTTTATGATTTATTTTTTTCTTGGTTATTGCAAAAATAAATTATACTGTCACAATTAACTTTTAAATACAAATATTTCAATGTGACATTTGTTGGCACAGTTTGAAATGTCGATTACTTTGAAACTCAGAACTGTGTTACTTTATTGCAGATGAACCCACAAGATCATTGAGTGGTCTCATCTTGAAGAATAATGTGAAAGCACATTTTCAGAACTTCCCAAATGGTGTAACAGACTTTATTAAAAGTGAATGTTTAAATAATATTGGTGACTCCTCCCCTCTGATTAGAGCCACTGTAGGTAAGTTATATGGCAATAATCTTACTCACCAGTGTTTGCAAGTGGATGCTTTTTTAGACACAACATACCATTTACATAGCACTTTTTATTATCTACTTACTGTAAAATTGTGATGGGGAAATTTTTCATTGCTGTTTCAATGTTTCTGAAATAATGTTAACTACTATCAGAGCTCTCATCCAATGAGACCAAAGTCACTGGTAGTTGCTGAATCAAAGTTGATTGTTAGATTAAAATATTTAACCCATTATAGCTCATCATCCTATATATAGGGCATCTATAAAAACTTACGTTGAACAATAAATATACCACATAAGGATAACTTTTTAAAAAGATTTTATTTATTTGAGAAATAGAGTTACAGACAGAGACAGAAAGATCTTCCATTCACTGGGTCACTCCCCCAGTGACTGCAACCACCAGAGCTGCGCCGACCTGAAGCCAGGAGCTTCTTCCGGGTCTCCCACGCTGGTGCAGGGTCCTAAGCACCTGGGCCATCTTCTGCTGCTTCCCCAGGCCATAACAGAGAGCAGGATTGGAAGTGGAATAGCCGGGACTAGAACTGGCACCCATACGGGATGCTGGAGCTGCAGGTGGAGGATTAACCTACTGCACCACAGCACCAGTCCAAGGATAACTTTTTTTTTTCTGTCTCTTTCATTGAAGTATTTGCAGAGTTGAAAACTTGGGACTAAAGGGGCTAATTATGACAACTGGTGTAAACTGGTCTATGAACACACACACTGGCTGTTGGTAAGCACACATTATCAGCCAGGGAAGACAGAAATAGGCAGGTGTGCTCTCTGCTTCTAAAGGGCAGCATTCAGTATGCCATGACTTAAGCGGCTGAATTTTACAAGGACCACCTGGAAAGATTCTATTTCTCTAGCCGGTTGGTTAAATGGACAGTTTTAAATGAGTCAGAGTCTTAAAATGAGAGTTCCTTAGTTTTTGTTGGGTTTGGAAAGTACCCAGTTGTATAAAGCAGAGGCTCTGTGACTTCTTGCCAGGCATTCTTATATTAAACAGTGCCATTGTTAATACTGATTTTTAGAATTTGATGGGTAAAGGGCGTTTATAGTTGGGAGAAAAGAGACCCCTGGTCTTTCTGATGTGCCCTCTTTTGACACTGATTAAAAATGAGTAAGTGTAGGCCAACATTTTCTGCTTAAAATCAAGGAGAGAAAACTCCATATAAGTGGTGGAATAGAAAGGAATAGGTGTCCTGAGAGGAGGCAACTCAGGTAAGGGAAAGAGGCAGGACAAGGTATAGAGATTGTAAATGTGAGATTGTTTTCTCTCTAGCTTGTATTTCACTGTTTAAGTGCTATTTGGTCTGAATTACTGTACATGGAATCTTAAGTTTAAAAGGTTAGAAGTCATAGTATTAGAGAAGAATTGGTGATACCTTCCAGTGAGTTCTGATTTCTTTTACCTTCCTTAAAAATTTGTGAACATGTTTGGGAGCCAGGTTTATCTTGGGAATTATTTGAACACTTGAAAGTATCTTTTGATTATTTTAAAACAGGTAGATGAAATTGATATTCATAGGTCTTGATTTTTTTTTTTTTTAAGATTTTTTTTTTTTTTGAAAGGCAGAATTAGAGGCAGAGGCAGACAGAGAGAGGTATTCCATCTGCTGGTTCACTCTCCAGATGGCCACAACAGCCAGAGCTGGGCCAACCTGAAGCCAATCAACTGGTTTTGTTTAATTATTTGTTATACACTGCTTCACATAAAATGAATTTTCAAACTTCTAATATAACTGCAATATATTTCCAAACAACATAATGTCAGAATTGTGAAGGTAGACATGGCTACATGACAGGAATAACTTGTGTAAATTAATGCCTATTGTTGAAGCTAGGGAATGGATACACTTAGCCCATTATATTTTTCTACTTACATACTCATGTAAGTGGAGTGTCCTCTGCTCAAAGTGCTTGGAACCAGAAGTGTTTTGAGGTTTTTGGGCTTTGGAATATTTGCCTAAACTTTATCTGTTGAGTGTTTCTAATCCACATATCAGTATCTGGATTCTTTTGAGGTGCTGAGTACTCACAGTTTCCAGGGGCGGGTGTAGTTCCTCAGTAGTTAAGGTCAGTCACAGCTTAGGATACCCACCTCCCACCAGTTGAGTTCTAGCTACTGTGCTTCCAGTCCAGCTTCCTGCTAGTGCATCATGGAAGGCAGCACATCATGTTTCAAGTGCTGGGCCGCCTACCACCCATCTGGGAAGCCCAGATGGAGTTTCAGGCTCCTGGCTATAGCCTGGCTCAGCCCTGGCTGTTGCAGGTGTTTGGCAAGTGAACCAGCAGATGAAAGATATCTCTTTCCTCTCCCTCTCAAGCAGATAAAAACTACAGACATTTTTTTTTTTTAATGTTTTGGACTTTGGAAGAGTTTTTTTTTTTTTTTTTTTTTTTTTTAAGGTTTATTTATTTATTTGAAAGAGTTATACAGAGAGAGGAGAGGGAGAGAGGTTTTCCACCCGCTGGTTCACTTCCCAGTTGGCTGCAATGGCCGGAGCTGCGCCGATCCAAAGCCAGGAGCCAGGAGCTTCTTCTGGGTCTCCCACGCAGGTGCAGGGGCCCAAGGACTTGGGTCATTTTCCACTGTTTTCCCAGGCCACAGCAGAGAGCTGGATCGGAAGTGGAGCACCCAAGTCTTGAACCATTTGGGATGCTGGTGCTGCAGGCCAGGGCGTTAACCCGCTGTGCCACAGCACCAGCCCCATACTTTGGGTTTTTAGGTTAGATATATACTGAATCTTTTAATCTGAAATTTTCAATGAAAAAGTCCATAGGTACTGGCATTTGGCCTAGTACTTAAGCTGCTGGTTGGAATGCCCACATCCCGTATTAGAGTGCTTGGGTTTTAGTCCTGGCTCTATACCAGATTGTTTCCTATTAATGCTCACCCTAGGAGACAGCAGGTGATGGCCTCCCCTGCCACCCCTGTGGGATAGCTGGATTGAGTTCCTGGCTCTTGACTTTGGCCTGTCCCACCTAGCTATTGTAAGCATTTGGAAAGTGAACCAGTGGATAGGAAAACTGTTTTTTTCTTCTTGTACAACTAAAAATCAAAACAAAACACATTACAAAAGTATAATATTAACTATCGATAACAATTACCTTGGCCAGTTACTTGCATTATGTTCATTTAAAAAGATTACATTTGTCCTTTTTCTCTCTCAACCTCCTTTTAATGCAGGTTAGCAAAAGTGGTAGGAGATCAAGATTTACCTACAAAAGTGACTCCCAAGGAGGGGAGAAATTTGGGGAGGGGGACAGTGAAGATTCTGAAGTATTTGAGCATAAACATATACTTCATGTGTGTGTGTGAGAGAGAGATCTGAAACATAATGCCTCAGAATCAGGGATCCTTGTGGTAAACATAAATTATCTTTTTAATGTGAGAATTAGTGGTACAGCAGAGCGAGCACACATTCTTATCCACTGGTTCACTCCCCCGATGCCCTCAATGGCTGGGGCTGGGCTGGGACCAGAGCCAGGAATAGTTGAAGTCTCTCATGATGATGGCAGGGGCCCAGTTAACTCAGCTGTCTCTGCTGTCTCCCAGGGTCCACATTAGCAGGAAGGTTGAGTCTGGGGCCCAGAATGAAACCCAGGGACCCTGATGTGGGAAGTGGGCATCTTAACCACTAGGCTTGGATAAGTATTTTTCTTTGCAGAAAATTGATTAGCTTAGTTTAAAGTATTAGTGCTTTCTATAAATAAAGGAAGAGTTTTTTTTTTTAACCTCTTAAATCAGTTAAATTTTTTGCATAATTATTGTAGGCTTCTGAAAGGCATGTCTAAAAATTCAGAACCAGCTCTTATTACTCATGAACCAGGACAGAAAACTCTTGTTAATATAATATGTATAGTAGTGTAAGTATACTACATTATATGGGTAAGGAGGATTTTGTTCATCTAGATAGGGTTTTATAACCGTAGCACTTGGCGTTTTATACCAGATAGTTCTTTGTTGTGCTTTTAAAGATTTATTCATTTATTTATTTATTTGAAAGAGTTAGAGAAGGAGAGGCAGAGAAAGTCTTCTGTCCACTGGTTCACTCCCCAAATGACTACAATGGCCGGAGCTGGGCTAATCCGAAGTCAGGAGCTAGGAGCTTCTTCCAGGCCTCCCACATGGGTGTAGGGGCCCAAGTGCTTGGCCCATCTTTTACTGCTTTCCCAGGCCATAGCAGAGAGCTGGATTGGAAGTAGAGCAGCCAAGACTCAAACCGGTACCCATATGCGATGCCAGCACTGGAAGTGGCAGCTTTAACTGCTACGCCATAGTGCCAGTCCCATGCCAATCAATGTTAATCAGCCCCTGTGACCTCTTCCCACTGGATACCAGTAACAGCCAGTAATGTCTCCAGATAGTGAGCTGCTTGAGGGAGTCTGCTGCTTATTTTTATGGATCAATAATTTTTACAGTATTAACTATGTAGTAAATACTTTAATTAAAAGATGTCTGATTATAAAAATAAACTTGTAATTTTGGCTTTTAAAAAAATTTTTAGAAGAATTGTTTATTTGAAACCAAGAGTTAGAGAGAGAAACACACACACAGAGGTCTTCCATTTGGTGGTTCACTTCCCAAATGGCTGCAATAGCCAGGCTTGGGCAAGGCTGAAGCCACAAGTCAGGAGCTTCTTAAAGGTATCCCACATGGGTGCAGGGGCCCAAAGAGTTGGGCTATCAGGATCCAAAGTATAACAACCAGGACTCAAAGCGGAGCCTTTATAGGATGTTGGCATTGCACATGGCAGTTTAACCCACTATACTACAATGCAGACCCTCTGAAACCTTTTAACCTTGTACACATAGCAAATCTTGTTGAGAAAGTATATTTGTAAGGCACTGCATTTTTGACTAAGGTAATACATTTGGATGAATGGAAAGTTGTTTCCCTTGTTAAAGAATAAATGATTTGTTTGGAATTTTGCTGTTTCAATGAATATTCCATTATGTTTACACATAGGGAATCTTCTGTAGAATTTATAGAAGTGGCATTACTAGGTCAAAGTATGTTGTCAAATACACTGAGTTTCATTCCCTTATTTGTCGTAAACATTGGGAATTGTGTACAACTTTTTACCTTTATGCTAGTATTCAGTTTTTTTAGAGTGATGAGATGATGAGGCCAGATAAGTTTGGAATTTATTAACATCTTGTGATGCTCTATTAGAAGAAGTAATGAATATCAGCAGTCTGGTTATACCAAGTTGTAGATTTTGTTTAATTTTTACGAATTACTATGTGTGGTTTTACTTAATACACACTTGATTTCTTTTAGACAGATCCAAATCATACTGTTATCCTCGATTCTTTTATGTTTTAACTTTAGGAAAGGAAAATTGGCAAGAAGGATCAGATCTTGCGGGTTTATTTTAAGACTTATATGAAAGGCAGGGTGACAGAAAGAGATCTTGCACCTGCTGGTTTACTCCCCAAATGGTCACACAACTGAAGCCAGGAACCTAGAACCCCATCTGGGACTCCTGGGTAGGTGGCAGGGGCTCAAGCACTTGGACTATCCCTTTGTTGCTTTCCCAGGTGCATTAGCTGGGATCTGGATCAGAAGTGGAGCAGCCAGGACTCAAACCTGTGCTCATGGGATGCTGGCTTCGCAGATGGCGGCTTAACCCACTGCACCAAAATGCCAGCCCCCAGGTCTTGCTTTTTAATCTGAAGGCTGTTACGAGAGTTGGATTTTTAAAATGCTTTCAGTACATTGACCCTCGTTGTGTTTACATGGGGCGCGCTTTGTGCTTTATATTTCTTTCATTTCATTTCTGTACCATTAAAGCAGCCTTCTCAAAACTAGAGGTAGAAAGCTCCTAAGAATAATTTGCTATTAGTAATAGTTATTGTAGCCATCAGGCATTTTATGTGTATCTCACTGGATTTTCATGGCAGCCCTATGGAAAGAGTACTTTGTCTTGTTTCATTTTTACAGATTGGTATTTTACAGTTTAGCCTATCTTCAATTGATACTCTTAGACACTAAAGGATCCATGGGTGCCAAGCACTTTTGTGTTGTTACTGTGTTGGTATTACACAGAACTGCATTACATGGTACATTTTTGTGAATTACACAACCACTGGCTGTCACAAATCTGCTGCCCACCATAGTCAGAATAATCCAGTTAGTCAGAAGAACATGATCACTCAGTGTGTGCCAGCCAACCTCCAGGGTCCAAGATCACCTTTCTGGTCACTCATCCTTGACCAAGGAAGTCAGATTTGTTGGAGAGGTAAATGGCCTGTCCAGAGGAAGGTCAGCGTTGCAAACTGCATGTGAACCATTGTTCTCGTACTTTATTTTCCCCACCATGGTCCTTGGCTCTTATTCCAGGTTAAATCAGGGAGCTATTCTTAGTTTCTTAAGGTATCTTTTATTTAAACCTAAGAGTCTTACAACCTCATCATATCCATAATAACTGCACTGATACTTTGGAGCTACCCTTGGCCTTATTGGAGAAAAGTAAGCTGCACCGTTTTGTACACCCACCTGGTTTAAGGGGGGAAAAAAAGCTGACAAAAACTTAGGGGTGAAGTGTTGGAAGGCTAGAATTAGATCTGCTTTATGTTGTGGCTTTCTCATAGATATGCTGTGATAGTATGGCTGTGGTTATTATTTACAGATTTGGAAATCTTAGGCTGACTTGAGACTTTGAAAAATGTGGATATTTACACACAGCTGCTCAAATGGTAGTATATAACAATGCAGTCAAGTGTCCTAAAAATATGTTTTCTTTCAAGGTATTCTGATTACAACCATAGCTTCCAAGGGAGAATTACAGAATTGGCCTGATCTGTTACCAAAACTCTGTAGCCTCTTGGATTCTGAAGATTATAACACCTGTGAGGTAAGGATATTTGCTTCATATATAATTTCTTCTGTTGTCATGTTGTGTATTAGGAACCCCTAAGGAAAACTTAGAAACCTTGGAGCTCAGCAGCCAGTTACGCTGCTGCTTACAATGCTAGCATCCCATAACGAGACCCAGCTGCTCTGCTTCCATTCCAGCTTCTTGCCCATGTGCCTGGGAAGACAGTGATGATTGCCCAAATACTGGGGTCCCTAGTACTGACATGGGATGCCAGGGTGGAGTTTCTGGCTTCTGGCTTTGGACTGGCCTAGACTCGTTGTTGGGGTCATTTGGGAAATGGAATAGTGGATGGGAGGATGTAAGATCTCTCTCTCTTCTCTCTTTTTGCTCTGCATTTCAAATAAAAATAAATCTTTAGGCCGGCGCCGCAGCTCACTAGGCTAATCCTCCGCCTAGCGGCGCTGGCACACCGGGTTCTAGTCCCGGTCGGGGCGCCGGATTCTGTCCCGGTTGCCCCTCTTCCAGGCCAGCTCTCTGCTGTGGCCAGGGAGTGCAGTGGAGGATGGCCCAGGTGCTTGGGCCCTGCACCCCATGGGAGACCAGGAGAAGCACCTGGCTCCTGGCTCCTGCCATCGGATCAGCGCGGTGTGCCGGCCGCAGCGCGCCAGCCGCGGCGGCCATTGGAGGGTGAACCAACGGCAAAGGAAGACCTTTCTCTCTGTCTCTCCCTCTCACTGTCCACTCTGCCTGTCAAAAAATAAATTTAAAAAAAAAAAAAAATAAATCTTTAGAAAAAAAATTTAGAAACTTAAAGTCACCTTTGTTTTACATTTGTGATAATTTATTTAGCTTTTCTATAAAGATTATGTTATAAAACTTCTTTACTATTTATATACCCTCTATTCTGAAATTGCTCTTGAATGTGTACATACATAATAAATAGCTGTTGCCAAAATCAGTTGATGTGATGTTTTTTAAAGATGGTCTGAGATTTACCAAATCCCAGACCATGAGCACTCTTTTAGCTTCTCTATATTTTTAGTTTTTTTGCTTCTTATTAAATGACATAGCTTAGGTATGTCTTAACTTGTCAACCTGTAGTCAAGCATTAACTGATTTCTTGGTTTTGGCCATGGACCATTCACAGAGATAAGAGGACATGTATATAGCTTTCTTATATACTTTCTCACTGTCAGTAAGGGCTTAAGTACCTCTTTCATTTGCAGCATTCAGTTTGGGCAGAAGCTATTTAAATGGAAACCATTTTAGGTGGTTTGACTTTCCAAAACAATGATTCCGTTCTGTTTGAAAACAGAGTGGGGCTAGGAGGCAGAGAGGCATAGGAATAACCGTACAGAATGAAATCAGGTTGCCTATGGCTCTGTAGTCTATTGCCTGGCATGTCTTGGCGAAGAAAAAGGAAAGAGGGAGAGTCAGCAAAATACTGTTTATAAAGTGGCTTTCTGTCTCCCTAAAAGGAAAAAAAGGTATCCTTCATACTCACAAACACAAAATAATGCCTTGAATTTACAAGGTTACAGAAAGACTGACTTAGAAGAATTAGTCATCATGTAGCAGTTTACATACAAACAGTGCTTTGGTATCATGGTAAACATAAAAGACCAAAACAAAATTTTTGTAAGATTTATTTTATTTATTTGAAAGGTAGAGTTACAGAGAAGGGGGGAGAGACAGGTCTCCCATCCGCTTATTTACTCCCCAAGTGGCCAGAGCTGGGCCAATCAGGAGCCAGGTGCTTTTTCTGGGTCTCCCACATGGGTGCAGGGGCTCAAACACTTGGGCCGTCTTCTACTGCTTTCCCATGCCATAGCAGAGAGCTGGATCAGAAGTGGAGCAGCCAGGAATCAAACCAGCACTCAATGGGATGCTGGCACTGCAAGCAGAGACTTAAACTGCTAAGCCTCAGCACCAGCCCAAAAACATCAAAATTTTAAACAAGCACTTTCCAAAATAAACTTAAACTGCAATAATTGTGAAATTGTGGAGCCACTACTACTACATAAAGTTGTGCTTTTAATAAGCAGTAGCCGATGTGTCTGAACTAAAGATGTGGGTTTTCCAGCTCTTGTTATGAGGTGATTGCTAAGTCTTCGTTCTCAGTTGAAATATTTACTTTGGTTTTTTGTTTTGTCATAGGGAATAAGTTGGCATTTAATTTGAGTATAACAGGCTTTCAGAACTAAAACTTTTTTTCCCCAAAAAACCATAATACTCACTGGTAGCCATTTTAAGCTGGCAAGTAAATTTTAAACTTAATACGCAAATTAAGTTATTATAAACTCTAAAAGGACATCGAGAGTCCTTAAGAGACTTCACCTTCTTTTGGCCACCTTTTAAGTGAACTATACCAGCAAGAATAAGCACCAAGTTGCTGCTGATGAAGCCATAAGCTGGAAGATAAACAGTTGAGGTAACTGATGGTTTATATTTTATGCCCAAGGGCTTTGGATTGTCCCCCTTTGATATAAAAATGGTTAGAATTAAATAGTTGGCAGCTGTTTTAACTGCCTACCCTCTCAACAGATTTTTTTTCTAGTTACCCAATTAGTGGTTTTTTTGTTTGTTTTGCCTTTTTATTATTATTATTTGAAAGAGTTACACAGAAAGAAGGGAAGCCAGAGAAAGAGAGAGAGGTCTTCCATCCACTGGTTCACTCCCCAGTGGGCTGCAGTGGCCGGAGCTGTGTTGATCCGAAGCCAGGAGCCAGAAGCTTCCTCCGGGACTCCCACACTGGTGCAGGGGCCCAAGGACTTGGGCCATCTTCTACTGCTTTCCCAGGCCATAGCAGAGAGCTGGATCAGAGTGGAGCAGCCAGGACTTGAACCAGCGCCCATATGGGATTCCAGCACTGCAGGTGGTGACTTCAGCCACTGCTCCACAGTGCCAGCCCCAATGAGTGGTTTATATAAGTAATTTTTAAATGGTATTAACTTACTGTATGCTTTCCCAAGAAAGTGTTATAATGGCTAAATACACTGTATCAGTGTGGTTTTACATTCAGTTTTAACAAACTGGTATTTAGTAAGAGACATTTGTGTTATCTTAAAACTGACAAGACTTTCAGGAGAGCGAGGTTTTGCGGTTAGATTTAATCTCAAAAATTTTTCTTACAAATTAGTATTTTGCTTTTAAGTGCCTTCATTTTTAATGAAGTCTAATAATTTAGCTATTGTCTTTTACAGGGAGCATTTGGTGCCCTTCAGAAGATATGTGAAGATTCCGCCGAGATTTTAGATAGCGATGTTTTAGATCGTCCTCTCAACATCATGATTCCCAAATTTTTGCAGTTCTTCAAGCATAGTAGTCCCAAAATAAGGTAAAATCAGCATTAATTTATAAACTATATATAAACCTAACTGCTGTCTTATCTTATATTACTTTACCTAATTTTAATAACGAAACCCTTGAAATGTTGCCGTTTAATGTATGATATAATTCTCTACCTTCTCTGTGTTTGTGATACTTAAAGATCATGTTCAAGTCCTTTTGTTTAAGGCCAAGATTATTGTTTGTCTGTTATCTTAAGTTACCAATCTTGCCAAGCTCAAACACCTTCATTTGTGTCTTTGTAATAATTCCTCCAGTAAAACAGATGGGTATACTTATCTATTGGAGTTGGACAAGATTATCAAATGTAATACTGTGAGTTCTTTGCAGTTTTAAGCATTCAAAGGTACTTTAAGAAGTTTGTGGAGGGTCCAGTGTTGTGATGCAGAGGGTTAAGCCACCACTTGGAATGCCGGTATCCCGTGTCGGAGCATTGGTTGGAGCTGCAGCGGATGATGCCTCAAAGTCCTGGGGCCCCTGGCCATCCACTTGGGAGACCTGGATGGAGTTCCTGGCTCCTGGAGTCTGCACGGTTCCAGGCCTGCCTGCTACACTTCTGATCCAGCTCCATGCTAATGTGCCTGGGAAAGCAGCAGAAGATGGGCCAAGTGCTTAGGCTCCTGTACCTACATGGGAGACTCGGATGAAGCTCCTGGTTGTGGCCATTTGGAGAGTGAATCAGTAGATGAAAGATCTCTATCTCCCTCTCCCTGTCACTCTACCTTTCAGATAAATTAACAGATCTTTCTTGTTTGTCAAAAAATGGAAATAAAAGATACATTTATCTTGATGCAAAAAAAAAATTTGATATCGGTGCAGTTTCTCTCATATTTTCCGTGAAATCTTTGAAAACTCTTTGTAGGAGCTTTGAAATTTTTTACAACAAAACAAAGTTAACTTTAATTCCATTTTTCAGGAACTTTTTGAAGTATACACTATCTAGTATCCTCTTAAGGATGTGCCCTCATTTTTAGGCCAGTGCAGGCCCGTTTTCTGTTTTCTCCATCCTGTGATTAATAGACTGATTGAATTTAAATGAGAATATGTTCTCATTTGAATCAAGTACTTTTAATTGAAGAGTTTCACGTATTAGAGTTTCACATCTAATTATGAGAAGAATCTTTTGCTGTGAAGGTGGCAGAGCTTCTGCACATCCCTAAAATCACGTAGTAGGCCTGGCTGACTAATCCTGAAATGAACCTAGTTTGCTTTGTTCATTTCTGTATCTTGGTTGTATCCCTGTTGTACAGTGTCTGAAATATTTAGAATATTAGCTTTTGAGTTACTGTCATAAGCTGTCCTATCAAACAGTAGTTTTAATATCTTCATTGACTCTACCAAGGGCTTACTTCTGTGGATGTCGTTGCTCCATCTGTTGAATGTCAGTTGCTTGGGTTTTTGTTGCTTCCAGTTGTCAGTGCTGCATGGTTTTATACAGAATAAGAAAACATCATACTACTATCTAAAGTAGAGCTGATGCTGTGTCTGCAGGTGATCAGTAAGGAGTCCTAGTGTGTGAATTTAGTGTATAGGCTGACACTGTTAGTTCAGGTGGCCATTGGAGCTTGTAGTGTTCTAAGCTGCACTACGTGGAATTATGGCTTTGGCAATGTGACCAGAGATTACTTGTATGTGTAGATCTATTTAGGGGCCCTCTATTTCCTGTTAGTAGGATGAACATAGCTCTCAATTGAGTTCTGATATACTTAAGTGCAAATATTTGAACTATTGAGGCTTTTATCAAATTGCAGCAAAGCTTCTAAAAGATATTAGAATGAATTACTACCCAGGAAGGAAATAGTTTAAAAAATTAACTGATTAGAGCTCAAACTATGAGAATAGATTTTTTTTTAAATTGTACTCTGGAATGTCAGCTTGGAAGAAATTTTTGATACTGCTGCTATTTATAAGAAGGAAACTTTATATTTTCTCCCTGAGTGGAATGAAAATAATAAGGACTAGAGTAAATTTGTAAATTTGGCAGATCTTTTGAAAGAATCTTTTGAAATCTTATATTTCAGGAGTTCGTCTTACAAGAATATGTGAAGACTCAAAAACAGTAGTTGGCCTAAAGTACACAGACAAAAGGGGGTGTTTTAAGATGGTCAAGTCCCAAAACAATTCCTGAGTTCAGTTCCTCGCTCCCTGTCCTGTTTCCAGCTTCCTGCCAATGTAGACCCTGGGAGGCAGCTGTGATAATTCTGGTAATTGGGTTCCTGCCACCACAGTGGATTGCATTGACAACTCCTGGCTCTCGCCATGGGTCATCCAGAGCCATTGTGAGCATTTGGGAAGTGAACTAGCAAATGGGAGTTTGCTCACTCACTCTGATCTGTATGTATTCGTCAAATTTTAAAAATATTTTTAATTTAAAAAATGCACTAACAGTCCAGGATGAAAAATTAGAATTAAGACTTCTGGGAACATTTGGCCTGGCAGTGAAGACTTGGATTGTGTTCCCATCTCCTATTCTAGCCCAGTCCCGCTCAGTCCCAGCAATCATAAGGCATTTGGGGAGTGAGCCAATCCATGGGATCTGGCTCTGTCTCTCAGTCTCCCAAATTAAAAATAGGGAGAGAGGGGCTATCTCCAGTTTAGTAGAATTTACTCTGAGCTTACTAAATGTCTCAGAGGGTCTAAAGAAAATAGGTTTTTTTATTTAAAAAGCTGTACAGAAGAAACCATGTTGCAAAAATATTCAGAAAAAATACCACTTACGTGTCTGGACAAATCTAATTAAGAAATAGACTAAAGTATATGGATATGTACCAAGAATAAATTTTCTTCCTTTGTTAATGCTCAGGTAATATAAATAGTGTTTTGATAGACATAGGATTCCAGGTTTATCATTTACATTTCTGTCCTATGTCTGATTCCTTTTTAGGGGGAGAATTAGTATTTAAAGCTTACAACAGTAGGAAGAATTATTTATTGATTTGAGAGGCAGAGTGACAGATCTTCGATCTGCTGGTTTACTACCCAGATGGCCACAATGACCAGAGCTGGGCCGGGAGGAAGCCAGAAGCCTGAAACTCATCCAGGTCTCCTATGAGTGGCAGAGGCCCTACCACTTTGAGTTGTCTTCATGGCTTTCCCAGGCACATTAGCAGGGAACTGAATCAGAAGTGAAGCAGCCAGGATTCAGGCCAGCACCATATATGGGATGCTGGCATTGTAGACAGTAGCTAACCTGCTGTACCACAAAGCCGACCCTTAGCATTTTGTTTTATGAAAAGCTTTGTTGTAATTTACACTGGAATTATGTTTGAATCAGTAGGTCTCAATGTGTACTGTAGAGGTCTTGAACATTTTATTGAATATATTTCTGAACATTATTTGGTGCTGTTGTAAATGGTAAGTTTTCTAGTTTGCTGATGTTTAGGAAAATTAACATACAGAAGTATGTTATTAAGCTTTTTACAAAAAAAGACATGAGGTACAAGGGAATTCTCATGTAAAAATGTAAACAGTACCCAATTTCAAGTTTCTAAAATTATTTGGGAAATGTCAGTGGCTTATGCCTGTGGAGGATGAAGTAGGTGAAACTTCTACCTTTTAAATTTTGCGCCACATGCACATGAAGAAATACAAGTTAAAAGAAAAGATTTTTGTTCTTGATTTAAAAGCCTTTTTAAAAGTCATATTCTTTTATTTTCTGTCCCATTTTTCTGCTGTGCCAAAATGTAACATAGTAGCTCATTTAGTTGAATCCTCACAACAAATAGGTGAGTTGTAGTGTTCTTACTTTGTAGATGAGAAAAGCAGACTATAACATTTGTGTTACACATTTAAGTGGTTGAGCTCCCTCGTGTATGTATTAATATCACTGTTATAGGTATTAGATCTTCCATCAAATAAATATTTATGTGAATTTGCTTTAACTGCTAAACCAAAAGACAACTGTTTTGGCACAGTGGTTACAACATATTGAAGTTCTTATGTGGCTCATATTTCAGAAGAGAAGGCAGATAGGACAGACAATAAAGTAATTTCAGTTCGTGACAAATACAATGGAAAAATAAGACTATTGCCTAGACAATGGTTCAAAGAGGTATTTTATATAGGAGTTTCTCTGCAATGGTTAAGTATTTTATTTTTTTAAAGATTTTATTTATTCGAGAGGTAGAGTTACAGACAGTGAGAGGGAGAGACAGAAAGGTCTTCCTTCCGTTGGTTCACTCCCCAGGTGGCCACAATGGCCGCAGCTGCATGGATCCAAAGCCAGGAGCCAGGTCCTTCCTCCTGGTCTCCCACATGGGTACAGGGGCCCAAGTACTTGGGCCATCTTCTCCTGCTTTCCCAGAGAGCTGGATTGGCAGAAAGATAGCCGGGACTAGAACTAGAACCAGCGCCCATGTGGGATGCCCGTGCCGCAGGTGGAGGATTAACCTACTGCGCCATGGCGCCAGCCCCAATGGTTAAGTCATTAAAAATCACAGTGAAGAATAGCAAGTGAAAAGACCCTGGAATTAGGGGCTAAAGGAGAAGCTCCATCATAAAGCAGTGCCTAGGCTAGTGGTCAGCAAACTGACCCATGGAGCCAGAGTTGGCCTATGGCTTGTAGCTAAGTTGTTGTTATTAATTTATTTGAAAGGCAGAGTTATAGAGAGGAGGGAAGGAGAGACAGATTTTCCATCTGTTGGTTCACTCTCCAAATGGCCACAACAGGTGGAGCTGGGCCAATCAGGAGCCAAGAGCTTCTTCTGGGTCTCCATGGAGGTGCAGGGGCCCAAATACTTGGGCCATCTTCTGCTTTCCCAGGCAGCTGGATTGAAAATGGAGCAACTGAAACTCATACCGGTGCTGTAGATGGTGGCTTTAACCTGCTAAGCCACACTGCTGGCCCCAGAGAGAGGTCTTCCATCCTCTGGTTCGCTCCTCAAGAGGCCCCAATGGCGAGACATGGGCCAGAACAAAGCCATGAGCTTCATTTCAGTCTCACACATGGGTGCAGGAGCCCAAGTACTTGGGTCATCTTCCACTGCTTTCCCAGGTGCATTAGCAGGGAGCTGGAGCAGCCGGGATTCAAACCAACACCTATATGGTTATGCCAGCATCATAGGCCACAGTGCCAGTCCTATAGGAATGATTTTTATGTTTTTAAAGGTTATATCTAAATAAAGTTGTAACAGAGGTCTTATATAGCCTTTGAAGATTGAAATATTTACCATTTGGCCTTTTGCAGGAAAAGTAGATGAGTTTTTACTGGAACAAGAGTATAGGTAGGTCTTTTCATTCATGTGTGTCAGATAGGTTGTAATAGGGGTTGACGCAGTGGAAATCAGGAAACCAATTAGATCCTATTGCAGTAACTCTGGTAAGAGATCATGGTTTGGGGGCCGGTGCTGTGGTTGTAGCAGTTAAGGCTGCCGCCGCCTGCAATGCCAACATATGAGCTCCAGTTCAGGTCCTGGCTGTTCCACTTCCAATCTAGCTCTCTGTTATGGCTTGAGAAAGCAGTGGAAGATGGCCCAAGTCCACCCGCCCCTGTACCTACATGGGAGACTTGAAAGAAGCTCCTGACTCTGGACTTGGGATCGGCACAGCTTTGGCCATTGTGGCCATCTGGGGAGTGAACCATCGGTTGGGAGACCTCTCTGCCTCTGCCTCTGCCTCTCTCTAATCCTGCCTTTCAAATAAATAAATACATTTTTTAAAAGATCATGTTTGAATTAGGGAAGAAGTCATTGCAGTAGGAAGTGAATGTGGCCCAGAAAAGTTGAACTGAGAATGTACCAGAACACTAACAAAGTGTGTCCCTCTCCCAGGCACCTACTCTTTACAGAAGAATCTGCCTTTAAAAATTTGCACATTCCCTTTTAGCCATTGTTCACCTACTTAAACTAACGTATACTGTTAATCTGCAACTTAACTTCTTTCACTTTATCATTCACATACTTTTTTCTTTAAATAATTTATTTATTTATTTGAAGCTCAGAGTTACACAGAGAAGGAGAGGCAGAGAGAGGTCTTTCATCTGCTGGTGCACTCCCCAATTAGTTGCAACAGCTGGAGCTGCGCTGATTCAGAGCCAGGAGCCTCCTCTGGGTCTCCCACACAGGTGCAGGGGCCCAAGTGCTTGGGCCATCTTCTGGCTTCCCAGGCCATAGCAGAGAGCTGGATCGGAAGTGGAGCAGCCGGGACTCAAACCGGTGCCCTGTGCTATGCCAGCACTGGAGGTGGTGGCTTTACTTGCTATGAAGTGCCGGCCCCTCACATACATTTTTGATACACAGAGATTCGATTCATTTTTTTAGGTGCATGTATGTACATATGGATCTATGTATACCATGATACTTTTATGAATGAATATTTATGTTCTTACCAGTCTTCTCTAGTCAGAAAAGTTACCGTGAACATATGTTAACATTTTATACTTTGTCCCTAGGTCTCACGCTGTTGCATGTGTCAATCAGTTTATCATCAGTAGGACTCAGGCTCTGATGTTGCACATTGATTCTTTTATTGAGGTAAGCTTTGCTCTCCCCACTTTGTTTTTGGAAATATTAAATACTGTCAGTATTATTTCTGATAGCATTAAAATTGGATACAGTATAGATTCTTTTTTTGTAGCTGAAAATAAAAGCTTATTTTTTTCTACTGGTATCATGATACAAACATCAATTTTGGTGCTTTGTATTATCTGATTACTATTTAAATATCTATTGGTATACTGTTCAAGTTTCATGTGAAAATTAAATCACTCAGCTTGCATACAGTATTTGAAACATGGAGAATTGATGAGGTTGGGTAAAGTTACTCAGTAAGGAATTGGAAGTTACAGACTAAAGAGACAACGCAGTCATGTACCACATAATTATGTTTTGATCAAGAGCAAACTGTGTATATGACAGTGGCCCCCTATAGCCTTGGTATATAGTAGGCTGTGCCATTTAATTTAGGTTTGTGCGCGTATATCCTATTCACACCCTGACAAAATCCCCCTAATGGTGATGTCTCAGAACACATCTAAGCAATGCATGACTGTATTTCTATGTTTCTGTGGTTTTATGTTATAAAATTAGAGGTGTTAGGGAAAAATTTAACTTAATCTCAGTGTACAAGCAGAAAGACATGAAGAGCAGCACATTCTGGCCATAAACCATACATAAGCAGTACAATTCCTTTTCAAAACCTTTGGTGTTTGAAAACAGCAGTAGAAAGGACTGATTATTATAGCTTGTTAATAACTTCTACTTTTTTATTGATCAGGTGAAAATTAGTTCATTGCTTTTCAACTGATAACTGCAGTTGAGAAATTTTAAGAATACGTTGAGGAAGGGTACCATATTATTTTTGTTAGCACTTAGAAATTAACCAACCCCATTCTGAGCATCTAAGAAGGATCCTGCAGACAGAAGTTCAAATGAGTTGTTTTACTGAGTCCCTACTATGAATCGGACTGTGTGCTTGACGCTAGGGATATGTAAATTTTCTGCCATACAAGATGTTTTCAGTCTTGTCGGGATTCAAGGTGGCAGAGTGTAGTGTCTGCTAATAGAGGTCTGGGATAAGACTGACTGGGTTCAAATGCCACATCTTAGTTTAGTGGCTGTGTAACTGTGGGCACTTAACTGATGCTTTCTGTTTTGTCATTTGTAAATGAGCTAATAACTGGCCTACCCTGTTGGATTATAAAGCTAGTTGCTATAAATAAATTGGAAAATGGCCTGTCATGGAATAAACACTTCATGTTGGTCGTTTTAGAAGTAATAGTAGTCTCAGGCCAGCGCTGCGGCTCACTAGGCTAATCCTCCGCCTTGTAGCACCGGCACACCGGGTTCTAGTCCCAGTCGGGGCGCTGGATTCTGTCCCGGTTGCCTCTCTTCCAGGCCAGCTCTCTGCTATGGCCTGGGAAGGCAGTGGAGGATGGCCCAAGTGCTTGGGCCCTGCACCCCATGGGAGACCAGGAGAAGCACCTGGTTCCTGCCTTCAGATCAGCGCAGTGCGCCGGCCGCAGCGCACTGGCCGCGGCGGCCATTGGAGGGTGAACCAACGGCAAAGGAAGACCTTTCTCTCTGTCTCTCTCTCTCTCACTGTCCACTCTGCCTGTCATAAATAAAAAAGTTAAAAAAAAAGTTAAAAAAAAAAGTAACAATAGTCTCTGTTGTACTATACAGTAGGATATTTGGTTGGTATTCTTTCACAGCTCAATAAAAAGAATGATAGACACACCAACATCTTACAAGGAAATGAAATTCAGAAATTCTCTAAATAAGAATTCCACAAGACTATACTCACCAAGTAGCATTTTTTTGCTGTTTATTATTTCTATAAAATTGAGCCAGCTCTCCATCCCACAGGGCAGTAAACCTCTGGAAGAAATGTCTGACACATACTAGGTCTTCAGTGATAATTTATTGGATAAATAAGTGGATTAATTATTTTCTTCAATTACCAGTGATCCTTTGTGACTTACGTCTGCTAAGTCTGACAGAACACTGATGAAAAGTATATTGGTTATTAATGCATGTCTATTACTTACACATTGGGGAAGCTGAGTGTTCATTCAAATTACAGTAGTAACAGTGAAAAGTGCAGGGTGATGGCACTGGACACTCCTCCCAACCAGTTGCTGTTCTCCACAGTAAATTAAGGAAATCTTTGAATAGAATATAATGTAAGATACATATCTAATATATCAGTATTGCTTGCTGTGGAAAGTTTTATTTTTTGCCACATGAAATACCTGGTTACCTACAGAGTTTTGAGATTGATGTAGAAGCAAGACTTGGGGAAACCAAAGTTTCTTTAATGCTACAACAATACTTCATAGGCTATTACATTTAATCATTGAACCTCTTCTTTGTCTTTCTTGTAATAAGATTTCAGGTTCCATTTTAGAGACATTTCTGTGGTTTCCTGAAAAAAGGCAATGGGACACATTGGATTTAACTTAATTTTTTTAATGAGCTTTTTACTGATTTTAAATGCACACATGCATGTGTGTTTGTCTAAGTAAAGTAGAACTTCATGAGTGAGGTAAGGAAGGCTTTGTTGTTTGTTTCTTCTCTCAACCTTGCTTGTAACCTCTACAAGAGCCTGCTTGTTCTTGTAGTGAAAGCTTTTTGGTAGACTGCAGTGAGTGTAGACTTGAAAGCCAAATTCAGATCTCCCACTGGCTAGGGGTTGACCTAACTTCTACTAACTTTGATGTCAGTACCTGACAGAAAATTCTTTTTTCAATAGTTGACTTGGTGAGCAGCAGCAATTTAGGGTTAGTTTGTAAAAATGGTGTTAATTTCCCGGTTGTGGATGCTTTTACAGAACTTGAACCTGCCGTCACCACCTTCAGAATAGTGTCTTACAGTGATTTTGAGAGGTAGATCAAATTGTGTTGTAATGATTATCTCTGCTTCCAGGTGAGCTGGATAAATGCCTACTGTGTCCAAATGACATGGTTTCATTTTTAAAAACTAAAATTGCCTTAAAACACAACTAATATTCTGTCAGAAAGAATGGCTTTTCATCTTTAATCAAAATTATAATCTTTGGCAGTTACTCCGTATTTCTGTTGTTTTATTTATAATCAAATACTGTAGGCCAATTCAGTCATTTTTATATCTTAGAGTTTCTTTCATTGTTACCAGGTTACAGATTGCACATTATTGTGTATACATGTTTCTAATATTGGAATTTTAAAACTAGAAAGCAATATGTTTCTTGTACAATAGAATCTCTTTGCATTGGCTGGTGATGAAGAACCGGAGGTACGGAAAAATGTGTGCCGGGCACTTGTGATGTTGCTGGAAGTTCGAATGGATCGCCTGCTTCCTCACATGCATAATATAGTTGAGGTAAAACAAGAAATTAAAATCTCTTTTTCATTCCTAAAGTTGTACTTACAAAATTTGTATTCCTTAAAAAATAAATTTGTAAAAAATTTTTTAAAAAATTAACAAAGAAAAAAGAGCTCTTTTCCCATATTTTCCCTGAGAAAATTTTGGGCACAAAATGTGTAGTGTGAAATCACTGCTTTCTAGTTTATGTAATGTATTATTGTGAGGAAGGGATTGTATAAATGATTATGATTTCTTAAAATGAGAAGTTGTCTTTAGTGGTGATTTTTCTCTCATGACATTTAAGATATTATGAGAAAGTTATTTAAAAGAGGAGGAAGCTTTTGATCTGAATTACTAGGAAATGCGTAGATCATTTATGTTTACTTCAATATAAATTTGTTTACTTAAATATATTTAAGGTTAGAGTAAACGGTTAAAAAACTTTAGGAGTTTAAAGTGGCAGGTTACTATGTTATTGGCATCTAGATTTAGAACAAAATTATTATCTAGACTGCTTTCAGTCCCTTAATGGATGGAGGTCTGAGGTCTACTAGAAGGTATCTAGGATCCGTGATGCATAGTAACTCCTATTCTAAAACATTAGGAAAGGTAGTTGTGGAGAAGAGTATGTATTAGCCCAAGATAGAGATAAGTGATATTTTTGCTGATGAGCCTTTTCTCTCAAAAGAGACAGGAAGGATTGGTTGAAAGGTTGTTGAGAGAGTTTGCAGTTAACCAGAAAGTTAAATTCTCTCAGTTGTTGCCAAGGCAGACCTAGAGAGCCTAATTTACAGTGCCACAGTTCTTTTTCAGAGGTTCTCCAGTAGCATAGGGCTAAGACCTAACATGGTACGTGATGAAGGCTGGCCTGTGACATCTGTTGTGTTGTTCTATTTTGTCACATGAGACATGCCAATCTAGAAGAGGTTATAGTTAAGGGAATTCATCAGTTTCCCATATTTCGCCTGATGTACATTGGGAAATCAGAATGATGGTAGCTTGATATAGTCAGAAGACATGGTAAACCTGTTTTGTTGAAAGGTTAATACATTTCAAAAACCTCAGTGGCTTCTTAAAGTACAACTACTCAGAAACAGATAAATAATACATGTGCTGAACACTTTTAATTGGGCAGCATTCTAGAGCAGTAGTTCTTAAATTTAGCTACATTTTAGAATCAGCTTGGATTTTTTTTTAAACAGAAGTGTAAGTTGAAAACCACAATAAAGTGGGAGACCATAACAAAGGCCTGATACAGGGTTGAAATTACGGTAATTGTATGGTTTTAAACTGCTTAACATTAAGGACTTTTTGTTCACAGTACATGCTGCAGAGGACCCAAGATCAAGATGAAAACGTGGCTTTAGAAGCCTGTGAATTTTGGCTTACTTTGGCTGAGCAGCCAATTTGCAAAGATGTGCTTGTGAGGCATCTCCCAAAGTAAGTGTTCCGTCTTGTAAATGCTGCCTGCTTAATTTCTTAACAGTGAATCCTTATTTTCATATTTTCAAAAAATTAATTCTTCTGTCATCAGGGAGTTAACTTCTAAATAAGCCAGACTTAATCTTACTATTGGTATAAGAAAAGGAATTTTTTTAAAGAAACAATTATCACTTTTTATATTATATGAGGGTAGTTTTTTCTAAATAATAATTTTGGATTTAACAATGAATTCTAGTGGTTTTTTTTTTGACAATATAAAAAATGTAGTTAGGTCTGAAGTTACTTGTTAAATTAATGCTCATTTTTGGAAAAAAAAATTTCCTCATGGGGAAAATTAATTGCAGAATTTTATTTTATTTATTTATTTATTTTTTTGACAGGCAGAGTGGACAGTGAGAGAGAGAGACAGAGAGAAAGGTCTTCCTTTTCGCCGTTGGTTCACCCTCCAATGGCCGCCGCGGCCAGTGCGCTGTGGCTGGCACACCGCGCTGATCCGATGGCAGGAGCCAGGTGCTTCTCCTGGTCTCCCATGGGGTGCAGGGCCCAAGTACTTGGGCCATCCTCCACTGCACTACCGGGCCACAGCAGAGAGCTGGCCTGGAAGAGAGGCAGCCGGGACAGAATCCAGCGCCCCGACGGGGACTAGAACCCGGTGTGCCGGCGCTGCAAGGCGGAGGATTAGCCTAGTGAGCTGCAGCGCTGGCCCCAAAAATTTTTTTAATCACTTAAATTGTCACCACTCTTTGGTAATCACTGCTAGTATTTTTGTTGTGTTAACTTTGTTTTTCCTGTATAAGTACTATATTTCACATACCCACCATGTATTCAGGGCATGTGGGAAAAAAATTGATTTCATAAACTAGAGCTATCGTGTGGATTATCCATTTAAGGCAACCCAGTGCCTACTGCATATTTAAGTATTCAGTAAAATTCATTGTTAATACTTTAATGTTGCATGAAACCATGAAGCTTCAGGAGAAAGCTTCATAACAGAAATAATGACTTGCCTTGCATGATTGGACTTGGTCAGTCATACCTGACTGCTCCATGGTCCCAGTTAACTCCCGTGACTAACTTTGCAGTCTCATGTTCTTACTTGCTGAATTTTACCAGGCCCTTATTCTGGCAAACCTTAGAACCCATAGGCCAAGGCCCTTGACCCCTTTGTGTTCTCCTAATCTCAGATTTTTCCTTTTATTCTTTCTCTCACAAATGTGATGACCAACAGATAAACCGTACTGACCAACTACCCTGGGTCTGTCTTCCCTGCTCAGGATTAATTGAACTATTTTCCTTCTTTTCTTCTTTAACCAGGCTGTTGAATATTATTGGGGAAAGTTACACTGCTAGGCCATTGCTGGCTGTAGAAATCTGTGGTCTTCCCCGACAGGTGGACCCTTCACTCTATCCGCCAGTCTTTGTTCCAGCTTAACTCTCTTCTTCTGGTTACCTTTTTCGGTCCTCTGAAGTTCTCGTTCCCTTTTAGCACTTCTGCCATATAGAGAAAGCAGGTGACGCTTCATCTTGCCCCAAAACTTAGATGTATTTTCATATGCATTGTATTCTTCCTAACTAGTCTTTGTACTTATGGTCTGGATAGCATAATTTTTTTTCTTATCCCTAGAGACTTAGTTGTATATTCTCTATCTGAGCTTTTCCCTGTGGCCTTTCTTTCCCTAACTTTTTAATTCAGTTTCTTCTGTCTTAAAATTCAGAAAGGAGATGAGGCCTACTGTCTTCACAAATTTTAAATCAGTTCTTGTTAAATCTGTAGTATCTTACTAAAATTGTTGACAAAGATCTTCAGTGATTTAACTATTAGGAGTCCAGAGAGATGTGGTTCTGTATACTGTAAGTTTTACCTTGTTGGGGCCGGTGATGTCGCGTAATAGGCTAAGCCTCTGCCTGCCGTGCCGGCATCCCATATAGGTGCCAGTTTTAGTCCCAGATGCTCCTCTTCTGACCCAACTCTGCTATGGCCTGGGAAAAAGCAGAAGGTGGCCTAAGAGCTTGGGCCCCTGTATTCCCATGAGAGACCCAGAAGAAGCTCCTGGCTCCACTCTGACCCAGCCCTAGCCATTGCAGCCGTTTGGAGAGTAAACCAGCAGATCAAAGACTCATCTCTCTCTGTCTGCTTCTCCCTCTCTGTAATCCACCTTTCAAATAAGTAAATAAATCTTTTTAAAAATAAATTTTTTTTAAATCTTACCTTGTTTGTGTTATAAAGGGACTTGAAAAAAGTCCATGGAAAATGGAAGTAAAAGTTGAATTTTGGGTCAGGCATTATGGCACAGTGGGTTAAAACACCATTTGAGATCCTCACATCCCATATCAGAGTACCTGATTCAGTTCTCAATTACTGTGCTTCCGATCCAGCTTCCTACTAAAGCATTCTGGGAGGCAGCAGATGGTGGCTTAAGTGCTTGGCCTTTGCCACATGCATGGAAGCCCCAGATTGAGTTCCAGGCCAAGCCCCCAAATTTGGCCTGATCAGCCCTAGCTGTTGTGGGCGTCTGGGGAGTGAACGAGCAGATGGAACAGCTCTAGCTCTCTCTGTCACTCTGCCTTTCAAGTAGATGAAAATGAGTAAACTGTTTAAAAACAGTTTGGTGCAAAAAATATTGAACTCCCTGCATATTAGGGGTTTTCACAATATTAATGTTAAAATGTGTAGTATGAAACAATGCCTGGCTTTGAAAACTTCATTGCACCAAAGTAAACTTTCAGTTACATTTTCCCACAAACTTTCTTAATTCTGTAAGTACAGTGCTTACTTACTGTTACTCTTGCATTTGGATTTTAGAAGGACTTAGAGCATGAATGTTTCACTGGCCCACATTTCTTGAACCTAACTAGGGGATTTGAAATCCCATTGCTTCCTTTTATCTATTAGAATTCTTTCAGCTATTGAGGGAAGATATATATCACTGAGTATGCCCAAAAAAACAGTGTTGCCAGCAGTTGTCTCATTGGTTTTATTAGCATGCATAAGATTGGGTTGAGAAGCATAGATCTTTATCTCATGAATTGATTTCTTTATAGGTTGATACCTGTGTTAGTGAATGGTATGAAGTACTCAGATATAGATATTATCCTTCTTAAGGTAAGGAAATTTTCCTGACCAAAAGGGAAAATGATTTTCATATTAATAAGCCCTTGAAAGGCCAACAGAACATTTAGAAAAGGCTTTATCTAGGGACAGATGTTTGGCAATGTGCTTAAGATGCCATCATCCCATATCAAGAGTACCTGGGTTCAAGTCTCATTTGCACTCCCAGTGCCAGCTTCCTGATAGTCTGTACGCTGGGAGGCAGCAGATGATGGGTCAGATAAAAAGTTGGTCCCTGCCTAAGTGGAGGCATACATAGGAGATACAAATTGAGTTCTTGATTCTTGACTCCTGGCCTTGACCCGGCCCACCCGACCCAGCCCAGCCCAGGCCTTTGTAGATCTCTGGGGATTGAGCCATTAAATGTGAAATACTCTCTTTCTTCTCTGCCTCTCAAGCAAATTATTACAGTCTTTTTATAAGTAGGCTTCCTATTATATATACTAGACTACAGAGGTTCAAACATGGAAGCAAACATACTGAATTTGGGTGGTAATAGGTTCTAACTTAATTAGTAGGTTTATCATTTATTTCCCTTTAATTTCAGCGAAAGTACTGCATCTTAAATGTGCTGATCTGAATTTGATTTCATATACCCTTAGATTGCATGAGCCAGTGTGGGGCATTGTGGGGTAGTGGCTCCTTATGACCTAACAGGTGTTACTTGTTTCTTCCCTCTGTGAGAACTGTTCTCTGCAGAGGAGCTGATTCTTAATCAGGAAATATACTTGAGAATCTAGTACCCAGCTCTGCCTCGATATTCTGGTTCTTTGACTCCTTTATATATTATTAGCTAATAAAAATTTCTATTCAAAAAACCAGGGTGATGTTGAAGAAGATGAAACAATTCCTGATAGTGAACAGGATATAAGGCCACGTTTTCATCGATCCAGGACAGTGGCTCAGCAGCATGATGAAGATGGGATTGAAGAGGAAGATGATGATGATGATGAAATTGATGATGATGATACCATTTCTGACTGGAATCTAAGTAAGTCAAGAGAGGAAAAGTAAAGATTTATTAGTTTCTTTGAAAGAGCTCCAAAGGGAAAGACAGAAACCTTCTGTGTGCTGGTTCACTCCCCCAGATGGCTGCAACGGCCAGGGCTGGGCCAGGTGGAAGCCAGGAGTCAGGAGCTTCTTTGAGGTCTCCCACTTGGATAGCAGGGCCCCAAGGACGTGGACCATCATGTGGTGCTTTCCCCAGGCCATTTGCAGGGATCTGGATTGGAAGTGGAACAGCCAATACATGAACTGGTGCCCATATGGGATTGTCAGCATTGCAGGCAGCAGCTTATCCGCCATGCCACAGTGCCAGCCCCAGCTTCTTGACTTTTGATAGAAGTGAAACCATAAAATATGTAATCATTTGTGACTGGTTGCTTTCATGCAGCATGTCGTTTGCAAAGTTCATCGATGTTGTAGTATGTATCCATATGTGTATTTCATTCCTTTTTGTTATGAAATAATATTGCATTGTATTAGCATACCATATACTATTTGTAAATATACTCATTCCTCAGTTGATGGATATTGGTGGTGTTTCTTCTTTTGGCCATTGTGAGTAATGATGCTGTGAACATTCATGTACAAGTTTTAGTGTGGCCATCTGGTTTTGTTTTTGTTTTGTTTTCTTAAGATTTATTTATCTATTTGAAAGAGTTACAAAGATCGATCTTCCATCCGTTGGTTCACTCCCCAAATGGCCGCAACGGCCAGAGCTGGGTTAGTCCAAAGCCAGGAGCTTCCTCGAGGTCTCCCATGCAGGTACAGGGGCCCAAGGACTTGGAACACTGGAAGCCGTGAGCTGAGTGAAACAGTATTTGTCTTAATTTTTCATAAAGACAGTGTCTATTATGGTAGTCATGTACAAAATAAAATTGTCTTCATAATTAATCTGCTAAGTCTTTATCCTAAGAAAATAGATTTAATAGAATTTTTAAGTGGTAAGACTGCCTCCTATTTAAATGAATTCTTTGAAAGTGTAAAAAGGTATGAATAAAGTATTATATATACAAAGTACATCTCATTTAAAAATATATGTAATGAAATTATAGAAGTTAATGGTGTGTTTTTTAATTAAATATTTCCTTAGGAAAATGTTCTGCTGCTGCCCTGGATGTTCTCGCAAATGTGTATCGCGATGAGCTACTGCCACATATTTTGCCCCTTTTGAAAGAATTACTTTTTCATCATGAATGGGTTGTTAAAGAATCAGGCATCTTGGTTTTAGGAGCAATTGCTGAAGGTAAGTCCAGGTTGTTTTGTGCTGATAAGACGAGGCTTCTTTAGGGAGTTGCTGTTACCTTATAAGCAAAGATTGTTGGCTCTGAAACTCATATACAACTGTGCTGTCTAGTTGTGCTGGTGTTAGGTAGACAAGTCCCTGATCTGCACGTACCTTAAAGGGGGATGATGAATCCCAAACCATCAGGATAAATTTCTACTTTGAACCAGTTAACTGTAACTAACTGTTACAGTTAGTTAACTGTACTAAATAGTCATAGGCTTACTTTTAACCCACGTGGATACTTTGCATATGTTTTCGTTAAAACTGAGGAACAGAATAAGAGGGTTCTGATGTCTGAAGTGTCTCCATTGCTGGAAAAATAGCTTTGTTTTCTCAGTAAGTATAGGAACCACGAGTAAGAAAAGAGTCGTCGTCCTTTGTGAAGGTTATGATTGATTCTGTCCTGGCTATAAACGTCTATCAGTAAGAAGTTGAGACATGTTACAGGCATTTCTGAAAGCTGTGATTTGTATAACAGAGGGGAAATGATGTCCTGCTCCTGCTGTGAGACCCCTAGGAGTACTTAAGCTCTAATTTCAGTCGTTATATAATTTTGGTACACATTATTATAGCATATTTATAGTAGTGGGAATATATGGAAATTTTTCATGGATATATGCATTACTTTTAGGATTCAACTGCAGTAATTTTGTTTGAACCAAATTTCAGCACTTTCTGAGATATTTCTGTTATTTTGTTTTCTCCAGGCTGTATGCAAGGCATGATTCCGTACCTTCCTGAGCTCATTCCTCACCTTATTCAGTGCCTCTCTGATAAAAAGGCTCTTGTGCGTTCTATAACGTGCTGGACTCTTAGCCGCTATGCACACTGGGTAGTCAGCCAGCCACCAGACACGTACCTGAAGCCATTAATGACAGAATTGCTAAAGCGTATTCTGGATAGCAACAAGAGAGTACAAGAAGCTGCCTGCAGGTGGGACAGTCCAGAAAATAAGATTCATTGTGATGTGATTAATTCAGTGAGAGAGCAATTTTGAACCCTGTAGAAAACCATGAATGGAATATTTAATGATTAAATATTTTCTGACTATGTAACAAAATTTAGTTTTCCTTGCTTTTTCTTCTTGGTGAAAAAAAGTAAGATTGTCAGAAATGTTTTTGTTGTTTTGTTTTAGGGGTAGTGGTTTTGAGCGACAAAGACTTATCATCTACCAGCTCACTCCCTAAATACTCTCAATGGATGGGTCTCAACACAGTCTAAGTTGGGAGCCCAAGACCCATTCCAGGTCTCCCACATAAGTGACAGGAGCCCAGCTACTTGAGCCATCACTGCTGCCTCACGGGGTCTACTTCATCAGGAAGGTGGATTCAGGGACCAGAGTTGGTAGGATGTAGGCATCTTACCTGCCCCAGTTTTGTAAATCTAAATGAGACTCTAAGTAGACATTAGTCTCTGCATTTCTTTCCCAGCTCAGTGAGTATAACTATAGTGTTATCTTTTACTTTAATTCCATCAGAGGTCTGAAATGGTGATCACAGGGCTCCTACTCTTGAAGGAATAATAAAGTTTGAGCAGATTCATATCCATCAATATTTTTATGCATCTGTTCCAGAACTTGTTCTTTTTAATGCTGTTTTGTTAGGCTTCCCTTACTATGGATATTCTAGTTTTCTTGGAACAAACATTTAAGATTCACAAAGTCTTTCCATGCATGTTTACTTTTTTGAGTAAAATTCCTTTTACCGTTGACATTTTTTAATAGGGAGAGACAACTGTTGAAAAAAGGAAAGTAAAATTGAGTTGAACCTTACAAGGTCTGAAGCAGCAATATTTGGAAGGAGTTAGTTCTGATTCTTAATGAGATGAAAGAAAGTTGAACAAATGGACTGTGGTGATTAATAGCACTACGTTTTTTTTTTTTTAAGTTGGAGGATACAGACTATTTGGGTTCCTGTGATTTATTCATCCATACACCTTTTTAGCTGTTAACTGTTAAATGTATAAATAAATGCCTGGCGTACAGTCCCAGCAGTCTTGAAACTTACATGCTGGTTATGTGGTTATAACTCATGGCAAGTTCTAAGAAGAAAATGGGTAAATAGTTCACAGTGCTAATGAATAGCATTTTCATTAGTAAATGCCTTAAACCTATCATTTTAAGAAATTTCTAGAGTAGGAAAAACACAAGAGATTTTAAGAACCAGGTGTGTCTTGTGGGCAAGAAAAATTGGGGTCTCAAATTTATTTTTTATTTTTATTTTTTTTGACAGGCAGAGTGGACAGTGAGAGAGAGAGACAGAGAGAAAGGTCTTCCTTTGCTGTTGGTTCACCCTCCAATGGCCGCCGCATCCGGCGTGCTGTGGCCGGCGCATCGCGCTGATCAGATGGCAGGAGCCAGATACTTCTCCTGGTCTCCCATGGGGTGCAGGGCCCAAGCACTTGGGCCATCCTCCACTGCCTTCCCGGGCCACAGCAGAGAGCTGGCCTGGAAGAGGGGCAACCGGGACCGAATCCGGTGCCCCGACCGGGACTAGAACCCGGTGTGCCAGTGCCGCAAGGCGGAGGATTAGCCTAGTGAGCCGCGGCGCCGGCCTCAAATTTAATTTAAGTACTTAGACTGAGACTGAATTTTTTCCTTTCTTACATATTTGTCCTCATAGTTGAAATGGCACATACTGTAAATTTATAGTAATGTTTGCATTGCTAGGCATCAGTGCACTATGTGTATCTTAGACTTGACAAGCTGCAGTACTGCTGTGTTCTTCCACATTTCAAACACTGAGCATTAGAATGATTGTCATTTTGTTACCCTTGGTATGCACCTGAAGGGTAAAGTATAGAGCTTAAATTTTTTTTTTTTTGGACAGAGTGGACAGTAAGAGAGACAGAGAAAAAGGTCTTCCTCTACCGTTGGTTCACCCTCCAATAGTCACTGTGGCCGGCGCACTGTGCTGATCCAAAGCCAGGAACCAGGTGCTTCTCCTGGTCTCCCATGGGGTGCAGGGCCCAAGCACTTGGGCCATCCTCCACTGCACTCCCTGGCCACAGCAGAGAGCTGGCCTGGAAGAGGGGCAACCGGGACAGAATCCGGCGCCCCAACCGGGACTAGAACCTGGTGTGCTGGCGCTGCAGGTGGAGGATTAGCCTATTGAGCCATGGCACCGGCCAGAGCTTAAATTTTAATCTAGACTTTCTTTGTTCATCTAGAATGGTTGCCAGAATGTAAGCTTCCTGAAAATGAGGGTATTGTTTTGTTCATTTTGTCCTAGCACTCAGTGTCTAAACATCAGATACACTTGTTGAAAAAGGATTAACAACATTTATAGTTCTAGAATTTACCATTGTAGCTATGCAGATGCCAGTGGGTGATAACCTCTTAGAAAGGAAGAAGTGATAAGAAATGAGAAAAAAATAATAAAAATCAGCATTTATGTGATGAGGCAAGGAGACAGGTATGTAAAGTTTAGTTTCAATGGATATTCTATAAATGAGATTTAGTTTCCTGTTGTGAACCACTATTGCTTTTATATAACATGTTTATTAATCTTTTTTTTTTTTTTTTTTTTTTTTTACAGTGCCTTTGCTACCCTGGAAGAGGAGGCTTGTACCGAACTTGTTCCTTACCTTGCTTACATACTTGATACTCTGGTCTTCGCATTTAGTAAATACCAGCATAAGAACCTGCTCATTCTTTATGATGCCATAGGAACTTTAGCAGATTCGGTAGGACATCATTTAAACAAACCAGTAAGTATCAGTTGATCAATTATCATGGAAAAGCGATGGAGTATGGTTATAATCAATGTTAAGAAATAAGCATTTTTGGAGATAGGAAAGGCAACACGTATATCCCCCTCTCAAGTAGGATTTCAAAGATAACTGCATACTTGTGAAACTACAGCAACATCTCATGAATGCACCAATGCTTATTCCTCTCTGTCCTTTTTGATTTTTTTTGGTTTGGTTTGGTTTGGTTTTTGTTGTTGGTTTGTTTGGGAGATAGAATGCAAAGCCAGGACCTGGGAACTTGATCCAGATGACAGATACCGAACTCCTAGAGTGTGCATTAGCAAGAAGTTGGAATAGAAAATGAACCTGGAGGCCGGCGCCGCGGCTCACTGGGCTAATCCTCTGCCTTGCAGGCGCCAGGCACACCGGGTTCTAGTCCCAGTCGGGGTGCCGGATTCTGTCCCAGTTGCCCCTCTTCCAGGCCAGCTCTCTGCTATGGCCTGGGAAGGCAGTGGAGGATGGCCCAAGTGCTTGGGCCCTGCACCCCATGGGAGACCAGGGGAAGCACCAAGCTCCTGGCTTCGGATCAGCGCGATGTGCTGGTCGCAGCGCGCCGGCCGCAGCAGCCATTGGAAGGTGAACCAACGGCAAAAAGGAAGACCTTTCTCTCTCTCTCACTATCCACTCTGCCTGTCAAAAAAAAAAAAAAAAAAAAAATGAAGCTGGAACTCAGTCACAGGAACTTCAGTATAGGATGTGGGCCTCCCAGTCTGCATCTTCACCAGGCCAGATATCTGCCCTGCGCCAGTACTTTATGAAAGAAAAAGGATAGTAATGCTTTTAGATGATGAATTTTCAACTTTTAAATTTAAAGGGTTTTGGGTCTCTCACTTCATAAACCTTGTAGCTTTAGAGTACCACATCTAAACATTTTTTTCTCCAGGCCATACAGATATGGGGAGCACACTATTTAAAGGAATAGAAAATGGAATAATAGATTAAAACTGTTGAATAATGGTCAGAAGTACCTTGTCTCTAGGAGTGTATATAGTTCTCAATACTCTGCTGAAGAATAGAAGATTTAATATGTGATTGCATTATGATTCGGTTACACCAAAAATCTGGGATGGCACAGTTGCTGTATTGATTTCTTTAGTGCTTGTAGTTTTGGTTGGTCTTTGGGGGGTGGGTTTTGTTTTCTGAATATCTTTAGAGTCTGTTCCCTTTGTTTACATGATTTTTGTGGTTATTTGGTTCTGTGAGTTATTCTTCAGTTTAAATAAAGACACTTAAATGATTGTGAATCTTTTTCTACAGAAGACTCTAAATTTTTTCCTGACAATTTATAATACACTGTAATAGCAACAGCCATATTACATTTTACCTTAGGACTAAGATTCTGTCACTGGAGAGTAAAATATATATGGTTCTTCTTTGTCATTTAACAAGTGATACATTTTGATGTGACAGTGCACTTACTTATATATGTTTTGTTTCAAAAAGGATATTACTTAAAAATAGAACAATGTTTTGTAATTAAAGATAGGCAAAAGGAAGAACTTTAAAAAGGACTATGTAAAGCAAAGGATGAACCTTAGAATCCCTTCTGTAATTTTATAGGGTTGCTCTAAGTGGATTTTAATTTTCATAGACTCGAAGTAGACATGTTTATGATAGTGGAGCTTTATATGTTTTTTATCCTTGTAAATAGGAATACATTCAGATGTTAATGCCTCCTCTGATCCAGAAATGGAACATGTTAAAGGATGAAGATAAAGATCTCTTCCCTTTACTTGAGGTATGCTGGGCTGGTAATATTTAAGTTAATCTAACACTGTAGTTCCTCAAAAATAGATATTATAATTCAGGATAGGTGTATACTCTAATAGGTAATATTAATACATTGACATTCAAACCCATTTCTTTTGAAATGCTGAATATGTATGTAACGTTGTAACTTTGATTTCTATACTAAGAAAAACTTAGATAAGAAAAGCAAATGGGCCGGCGCCGCGGCTCACTAGGCTAATCCTCCGCCTAGCGGCGCCGGCACACCGGGTTCTAGTCCCGGTCGGGGTGCCGGATTCTGTCCCGGTTGCCCCTCTTCCAGGCCAGCCCTCTGCTGTGGCCCGGGAGTGCAGTGGAGGATGGCCCAGGTGCTTGGGCCCTGCACCCCATGGGAGACCAGGAAAAGCACCTGGCTCCTGGCTCCTGCCATCGGATCAGCGCGGTGCGCCGGCCACATCGCGCTGTCCGCGGCGGCCATTGGAGGGTGAACCAACGGCAAAGGAAGACCTTTCTCTCTGTCTCTCTCTCTCACTGTCCACTCTGCCTGTCAAAAAAAAAAAAAAAGAAAAGAAAAGCAAATGGACATATGCTTTTAATTCAGTTTTTCCACAAACTTTTTGAAGTACCCTTTGTAACATGGTGTGTTATTTGCATAAACAGCTTTACATTTTCTTCTGAGTAAGCCTCTCCTGGTTGTCTGATAGGCTAACAGTGAGTCCCAGCCAAAGGAGAGGTCTCAAAAGTTAAAATTGTTAGTGTAAGTTGAGTACAGTTCCACACACTTGTCTTCATCCTTAGTCTACCCAGAACACTGAGCTTGCGTTATTCTTCCTAGTGTCTGTCTTCGGTTGCCACAGCCCTGCAGTCTGGCTTCCTCCCATACTGTGAACCGGTCTATCAGCGTTGTGTAAACCTAGTGCAGAAGACACTCGCACAAGCCATGGTATTTTGTTTAATGTCTTTTCCTTCTTGACATAAACGTTTTTCTAAAGACAGATATAAATGTGTACAAGCTTCTTTGGTAATTGATTAGAAACAAACTTTCAAAACCATCATGTGTAATTTCAGCTGAACAATGCTCAGCCAGATCAGTACGAGGCTCCGGATAAAGACTTTATGATAGTGGCTCTTGATTTGCTCAGTGGCCTGGCGGAAGGACTTGGAGGCAACATTGAACAGCTGGTAGCACGAAGTAACATCCTGACACTAATGTATCAGTGCATGCAGGTGAGACGTGTAAGATGGAAGCAAGTGCTGTGTCATTTGAACGCTTCTCTGTGCCATGTGGGGGTTAATCTTTTTTTCTTGTTGTAGGATAAAATGCCGGAAGTTCGACAGAGTTCCTTTGCCCTGTTGGGTGACTTGACAAAAGCCTGCTTTCAGCATGTTAAGCCTTGTATAGGTATGACTATTTTCTTCTGCTTCAGATGTGATTTTATTTTATGTAAGTGTGCATTTTCCTGGTTAAGGTTGCTTTGATTGAAGCAGACAGGATATGAGAGACCCTTCTGCCTCGTGTTTCTGCGCATCTCACTATCATTCCCGCAGCTCTTGGAGCATGCCTGTGACAGTGGGCAGGTTTGAGCAGTACAGATGTGGAGTCAAGAACATCGCCACCGGTGAAGCTTGGGTGCTTTTTTTTTTTTTAAAGATTGATTATTGTTTTATTTGAAAGGCAGAGAGAGAGAGAGAGATTGATTTTCCATCCGCTGGTTCACTCCCTAGATGGCCGCAATGGCCGGAGCTGCGTCGATCCAAAGCCAGGAACCAGGAGTTTCTTCTGGGTCTCCTATGTGGGTGCAGGGGCCCAAGGACTTGGGCCATCTTCCACTGCCTTCCCAGGCCACAGCAAAGAGCTGGATTGGAAGTAGAGCAGCCGGGACTCAAACCAACGCCCATCCGGGATGCCAGCACTTCAGGCAGCAGCTTTACCTGCTATGCCACAGCACTGCCCTATGAATTCTTACATTATGGGAAACTTACAATACAAATATTTATCACTTAATTTCATTTTTGAGCTTAAACTATGTGAAAGGATGTCATTTTTTTTCTTTTTTGCTTCTTACTATAAAGAATTTTTTTAAGATTTATTTATTTATTTGAAAGAGTTACACAGAGAAGGAGAGGCAGAGAGAGAGAGAAGCCTTCCGTCCACTGGTTCACTCCCCAGATGGCCATAACAGCTGGAGCTGCGCCGATCTGAAGCCAGGAGCTTCTTCCGGGTCTCTCATGCGGTTACAGGGGCCCAAGCACTTGGGCCATCTTCAGCTGATTTCCCAGGCCATAGCAGAGAGCTGGATCCGAAGTTGAGCAGCCAGTGCTCAAACCGGCGCCCATATGGGATCTGGCAATGCAGGCAGTGGCTTTACCTGCTACACCACAACGCTGGCCCCTATAAAGAATTTCTTAAATTATACAAAAAAAGGTATAATGAAAAAGGTATAATGGGCCTTCTAGTACCCATCTCTGTATCTGTCAATTATGATTCCTGTATACAACTATTCATCGTCAAACACAAAGACCCCAAGATACTTTGAAGCATGCTCAGACACATCACTTGAACTCTTTAATATTTCAGTATATGTCTCCATATCTCTTCCATTCAGACATTGTTTTTTCTTCCTTTGTAAAGTTTTGTTCTAAAAGGTTTCCCTTTCTAAATTTTACTGGTTTCATCATCTAGAGACTAAGGTTTAGTGAGATTGTTGTTGGGGCAGGGGTTTGGGGTTTGGGGTTTTGTTGTTAAAACTATGGATGGTGGTATATACTGTCTTAAGCAGTTATGTAACATTAAGTTGTCACTTAATGTTATCATCTATGATAATTACTGTCTAGGATTGTGGTTCTCACTAAGGGGAGTTTTGCCCTCCAGGGAACACTTGCCAGTGGCTAGAGACATTTTGTTTAACACTAAGGAATGCTAATGGCAAAGGCTGTGTCAAATATTTAAAAATGTATGAGACAGTCCTTCCTTTCTGCATTACAATGATCTGGTAACCCAAACTGTTGATTAGTGTTATCAAGATTGAGGGAATGCCGGCACCGTGGCTCAATAGGCTAATCCTCCGCCTGCTGCGCTGGCACACCTGGTTCTAGTCCCCATTAGGGCACCGAATTCTGTCCCGGTTGCCCCTTTTCCAGGCCAGCTCTGCTATGGCGCGGGAAGGCAGTGGAGGATGGCCCAAGTGCTTGGGCCCTGCACCCCATGGGAGACCAGGAGAAGCACCTGGCTCCTGCCTTCGGATCAGCGCGATGCGCCGGCCGCAGCGCACCGGACGCAGCGGCCATTGGAGGGTGAACCAACGGCAAAGGAAGACCTTTCTCTCTGTCTCTCTTTCTCACTGTCCACTCTGCCTGTCAAAAAAAAAAAGATTGAGGGAAGCTTTGATTTAGACCCATGTCTTAGTTCATTTTCTGCTGTGTAGAAGGCTAAGCCCCCGCCTGCAGTACTGGCATCCCATGTGGGTGCCAGTTCGAGTCCTGGCTGCCCCTCTTCCGACTTAGCTCCTGGCTCTGGGAAAGCAGTGGAGGATGGCCCAGTGCTTGGGCCCCTGCATCCACATGCATGTTTCTGCTTCTGATTTGAATTTTCCTAGTCTGATGATGAAAGATTAGTCTTGTCAAGTCGTTATACCTTTTTTATAATTGATGTGTTTGTTCAGTGCTGAAACTTGTGGTTTCTTGCCTAGATTTCAGCTTCCACCTAGAAAATTCCCTTTAAGATACAATGGATATACTACTATTAAAATATTATTGTTTGTGTGTGTGTGTGTGTTTTGTAGCTGATTTCATGCCAATACTGGGAACCAACCTAAATCCAGAGTTCATTTCAGTTTGCAACAATGCCACATGGGCTATTGGAGAAATCTCGATTCAAATGGGTAAGATTCCCCCCCCCCCCTTGAAAAACAGAACTATTTAGGTGACTTGATCATTTCTGTAAATTTTTTTTAATTTAAATTATTTTAATTTCTGTATATGTATGGCTTAATAAAGGTAGCAAAATATTTTATGTTGCTATTTAACATTAAATTTTTCCTTTTTTTCTCTTCCTGTGGGATGATCTAGGTATAGAGATGCAGCCTTACATTCCTATGGTGTTGCGCCAGCTTGTAGAAATCATTAACAGACCCAACACACCAAAGACGTTGTTAGAGAATACAGGTACCATTCGACTGAACTGTTATGGTGAAGAGAAAATTAGTTGCCTTGTAATTTTAAGATGCCTGGAGAAACCAAAGCAAAGTTAGCTTTTAAAAATAGCTATTTTAGATTCATAGTAATGAAATGCACTGTTTTAGCTACATTCTATAACTGGTTTCGGAAACTTCCAAAATTACTGTTCTCCCCTATTTCAGTGTTTTAACACTCCCTAAAATGGATCCCAGCTAACTATTGAATCATACGAATTTTGTTTGAAATTAATTCAAGAAAGTAACTGGAGATGGGCAATAATGATTTTTTTTAATCTAAAAATGTGGCCAAAAATAGATTGCAGTTCAGTGGCTAATTGGTTAACAGTGGCATTTGTGTTTTGTATTTCATTATAAAATTTCTTGAAATTGGGAAATTAAGCAGTTCTTTGTAGGGTTTTTATTTTGCAGGCTTGTTTCTCTTTTGCATTTATGGGGAGCATGTTGATGTTAAAGAGTACCTTCCATACTATAGAACACATATTGGGGTGACTGGGTCCTTTGCTTTCTGCCCTCCCTGTTGTTGCTAATGATCAGTGATCTAAATTTTGTTTTCATTCAGGTCCATTTCTTTTTTATGTACTAAAATAATGCCCAGTGGTTTATTTGTTGTGGTTGAAAATATTACCAAAATACTGGACAAATATTAAGGTTTTTCCTTAAAAGAAAGTTCATTTTCAAAGGCATTTTAAATTGGTATTTCAAACTATAGAAAATATATTTAAAATCCTAATATTACTAAAATTGATCATGTTTATTGGTATGGAAGGAAATCTTTTAATAATAAAATGATTATATGACTGGCTGTATGGGTACTGTATATTTCACAAAGTGAATTAGATTTTCTTGCTGAAGAGCAAAAAAAAAAAATGTATAGGATGGTTGTGGAATCTTGTCAGGTTTTTCTTTAGAATGCAGTACCTATACATGACATTCAGATTTGAAACACTTGCCATTATAAAGTTACTGTTGAACCTAAAGAAAATTTGTATTTATTTTTAAATGTGAATGCATAACTGCAAATAAATGTTGAGTGTAATGTATATTGAAGTTTCTTGTGGGATATCAAGTGCTGAATGTTATAGTTCCTCCTAACAAATTGGCTTTATTATAAGATTGTGTTCCATGTGTGATTATAACCTAAATAAGATGGTTGATAATGCCCGACAAGTTGATGGGTTGAAAATTAAGAAACACACTTGGAATTCAAGAGTGGCTGCATAAAATATTGCTTATTCCTTATCCAAAAGAATGCATTTTTAAATTATTGAAATAAAATCATTGCCAATGGCTAATGTCTTTTCAATTTTAGCAACTTAATTAGCATTCTCTCAGTATTTCATAAAGCCAATTCCTCAACATGTCACTACTTCCCCTTTTTTTCCAATTGGTATATCCTACACTGAACTTTTTCAATGGACCATCATCTGCTTTATCGCATGTTTCATTGGATTGTTCATACTTGCCTGTTTAATGAGAATGTTGCATAGTTTGTGTCTTTTGAACATAGGTTTTCTTTCTCTTGCTTCATATAAATCTGCTGGATTTTAGTATTATCTGTGTAGTTTGCTTCAAGTAATCCTTAAACATTTTTCTTTACCCTGACCCCACCCTTTTTTTATGAAAGGTTAACCTGTAAGTTTTTGAGAGAACACCATTAAAGTACCTCATGGTTTGTTTTCTGTTTGTATTTCTTCCCGTTGTGTATAAGTGTATTTATTTGTGTGTACCTTTGAATTGCAGAATGCAGTTCTGAGTTGCACTTGTTTTAGCTCTTTGTAAGTTTAAGACTTCCTGAATTTTGATAGAGAATATGTTTGCCCACTTCAAAATTCTTAAAAATCAGATATTAGGGTATAGCCATAATGTGTCATCATCTGTTCGGTGCTACTCTTTTTCAGCAAAAGCAGTATTTTTTCCCCTGTGGTCCACATGTCTTGTCATCACAGTGGACTGTCTGGATTTCCTTTATTAGAATTTTGTATATCAAATATGGTTTGAAATTGGTAGATTATTATCATCATCAGGGAATTGTCAGAATGCCATCTGGCAATTGAATCTGTTCAGTTCAGTGGCTACCATAACACTTGATTTTGGTGTCAGGCAACAAATAAAAAAATGTTCACTGGTTTGGGAGCTATTAACCCCAGCCTACACCCCAGAACTATCAAAATTTGGATTAAATTCCCTAGATAAGTTTCAAAGAGTGGACACGACTTAAAAACAAAGATGAAAGGAAGTGAGAAATATGTTTCAACTCTTCTAGCTACAGAAAAATGTGTCTGAGGAGACAAATCAGAAACATAATCACATTTGCTAATGCTTCCTGGAGGGAAAAAACAGATTTTGTTATTAAGAATCTCTATATCCATGCATTTTTAATCACTCACTTTTTATTATTAACAATGATATTTGAAATTTGAGTGAAAAAAAAAAAGCAGTTGATCATGGTTTTTGGTGTTCTCTCAATCTTTAGAGTTTTTTTAATTCCTTTCGTTTTTATTTTCCAAAAGTATGCCATATATGTTGCTGCCCCTTATTTTAGGGGGTGGTAATAAACAGCACTGGTGAAATCTTATGTTTATTATCATACACAAATTCTGTTGGTTTCTGTTTCTGAGTTATTTGTTGTTTTTTCTTTATTTTTTCTCCTTCCCCCTCATTTGCTCATGTCTTGGTTGGCGTTTGGTGGTGTATAACCGTGATTGCGTTACCTTAGCAATAACAATTGGTCGTCTTGGTTACGTTTGTCCTCAAGAGGTGGCCCCCATGCTACAGCAGTTTATAAGACCCTGGTGTGTATTATTCAATCTTTTTTTTTTAATTCATTTTTCTTCACTCTTTCTTTCTCTATCACTTTTAGATATATTTTCAGTTGGTTACAAAATCACAATCCTTAATCATTGCCAACCATGTGACTAATCTTGTCCTATCAGGTTTGTGAGGTTCTTCAGTAGCATTGTGATGTATATTTATTTTATGTTGTGGCTAACGACTAATTGATGCATGGGATAAGATTGTCACATGCTTGCTGTGTTAAAAGCTTGATTATACATAAAAAGCATTTAAATATCCACCAGAAAAATAAAGATGCATGCAAATTCTGTAAATTTAGGTTTTTGCATTACATTTATTTTTAGAATTAATTTGAAAACTTGGATTGCATTAAGAAATACATGTTTAAATTTGTTATGTATAAAAATCTTTGCTTGTTAATATAAACGTACACATCTACACCATAAGTTGTATAGTAATAGTTATATTGTGGCAGTGTATCCTATGTTCTGCTTCTTTCGATTGATAATCTTTCAATTCAAATCATTTCTAGTCGTGTTTAATGGAATACAAGTCATAATAATAATTGTTAAAATTTACTACTCTTGGTTCAAGTAAATCAGTAGTCCATTTTACAGATGCACTCTATTATAAAGAAAATATGAATTTCACTCTATAATGAGATTAAATGTATCCAACATACAGGAAGTGTAAGAAGATGAAACTAAGTGTTCTGAAAGCTCTTAATATAACCATTATCTATCTCTGGTGCTTATTCCATTAAATACTGTCCATTAGTATTGTAATTGAACCTGCATTTTTCCTAAATGCTAAACTCGGTTCTATAATTCAATAGGTGCACCTCTCTGAGAAACATAAGAGACAATGAGGAAAAGGATTCAGCATTCCGTGGGATTTGTACCATGATCAGTGTGAATCCCAGTGGCGTAATCCAAGTAAGACAGTTAAAGGATTTGTTTTTAATTTTGTAATGTTTTGAATTTTAAGGGAAGAAGACTTTAATTTCAAAAATATTAAAAGTTTTTTCAAAGGCATTAAAACAAATTCTACATTTAAAATGCCTGTATTTCTTAATGATTTGAAGTTATAGTGCCAGCTCCTACTTCCTAAATCTTTTTTTTGGTCATAAAATAGTGTTAGCAGATTGAGAGTGGTATTATTATATCTTTTCTCAGATTGGGCCGGCCCTTCTCTCATCTGCGTTCAGTCCTCATTTATTTACTTTGTACATGTCTCCCGTTCAGTTTGCTGAGTTTGAGGATACTGTCTTCATGTTACTTAGAATTGAACTTAGAAATAGTGAATAAAATCAAATGCTGAATCAGCCATTGAAATTGCCTCAATTGGGCAACCTTCTTAGGGTTCCTCCTGGATGCTGGGAGCTTTATCTTTCACTTAATAAATATTCAAGAAAGAAAGGAAAGAAAAAAGAAATTACCTTCATTATGATACATTTCAATTATTTGTCAGCAGTGTTGAACATGAGTCTAGTCGAAACCTCTGGACCCACCTGTCAGTTTGCATTGATACAGGCAATAGACATTGAAAACATACAAATTAGTACTGAAGAAAATTGTTTTACTTCACATTCATAGTGCATTAATAATTCAATTAGAACAAGCCAGTATACCTTGAGAGAAAGCCTCTACTCACAAAATAACCTTCTAGCATTGTCTTTTTCTTCTGATGCCTAGGAACTTTGCTTGTCTCAGATGTGTTTTAGAGATACCTGATACTGTATTTTCTTTTTTAAAGATTTATTTATTTAAAAGAGTTATAGAGAGGAGAGACAGAGATGTCTTCCATCTGCTGGTTTACTCCCCAAATGGCCACAATGGCCGGAACTGGGCCAATCCGGAGCCAGGAGCCAGGAGCTTCTTCCAGGTCTCCTACGCAGGTGCAGGGGCCCAAGGATGTGGGCCATCTTCTACTGCTTTCCCAGGCCATAGCAGAGAGCTGGATCAGAAGTGGAGTAGCCGGGACTCAAACCAGTGCTTACATGGGATGCTGGCGCTGCAGGCGGATGCTTAACCTACTACACCATAGCCCTAACCCCCAAGTAAATTGCGTTTTTATCCAGTATATGAAGGAATATATTGATGTTGATATGGTGCTTTTAATCCATTTTTGATGCTACAAACATTTATAGGTAGGACATAGGTTTGCTTTCATTTTGTGATATAAAATATGATGTGATATAAAATATGTCTTTCTTGTTTGTTCACAGGATTTTATATTTTTTTGTGATGCTGTTGCATCATGGATTAACCCAAAAGATGACCTCAGAGACATGTTCTGTAAGGTAACTAATATGTCTTTATGGTGTCTCATTTTGGGACTGTTAAAATCCTAGTTGAAAGTTTAAATTATTTCTATATTCCATATGAAACTTAGACTCTTCAAGTCGGAATTGATAATCTGGGTAACCTTTATCCTTGGTATAATACTTGTTGGGTCTTTTTAAAGTTAAGTCTGTGATCAGTATAGCTAAGCAGTACAACAAATCTATGTAGGCTCAGTATTTCACTTAGGGGAAATAGCATGTTTTCACAGATGGATGATTGCAATTTGAGGATAGTCTGAAACTGGAACAGAGTAAGTCTAAATGGTCTTCTCAGGGATGAGACTAGATAGTTCTTTGCTTTGTTAAATGCCCTCTTTTGATTAACTCTTGTCAGCACTCAGCTGAAACAGATTTAGAAGTGAAATACAGTTACACATTTGGATTCCCTAATGTCAACATTAGTAAACCAAATTTCAGCAATGAACCTAAAGCTTGTGTATTTTCAGTTTGAAAAACTCAACATAAAAAGTTTTATTTTGGTGAATTCTACACCTTTTTTGCTGGTTTATCATTAGTGTAAGGTCGAAGGCTGCTGAGTTTGTCAAAGCAGAGTTTAAGCATGGGCTGTGAAGAACCTTAGGCATGTCTTGGAATCGTTTAAAAACTAGCAAAATTTGAGAATTACAACCTCAAAACAATGAAACTTTGAAGCAGTAAGATCTGTAGTAATTTATTTCATAAGCTATGCAAATATGAGCTTTTCCCTTTTATTATTGATAAATTAATAGTTTTTTACTCTTTGTAGATCCTTCATGGATTTAAAAATCAAGTTGGGGATGAAAATTGGAGGCGTTTCTCTGACCAGTTTCCTCTTCCCTTAAAAGAGCGTCTTGCAGCTTTTTATGGTGTTTAATTGAATACACTTAAGCTGCAGTCCCAAAATTAGGGGTAAGTTAAAACAAGTTTAAAATTTTCAGAGTGAAGAAAAATTATAGCCTAGAAATGCTGAATATGATTAAAAGCCTTTGTGTTCTGTGGGGGTCTGAATAACATGTAGTCTCAGATCATGCTATGTTGAGTTTTTTAATTACTTACTTGAAGACTCAATTTTTTTTTAAGAATTGCTTTATATTTAAAAGGCAGTTACAAAGAGAGATCCTCAACCCACTGGTTCACTCCCCAAATGGCCCCAATGGCCGTAGCAGGGAGCTGGATTGGAAGTGGAACAGCCAAGTCTTCAGTTGGCACCCACGTGGGATGCCGGCATCACAGGCAGAGGCTTAACCTACCACGCCATAGCACTGGTCCCTTGAATTCTTTTGAAGAGCTAGCAAACAAGGTAAAAATGAAAAAAATGAGTGACTTCTCCTTTCAGTCCTAGATAGAAAGAAATCCAGGTTGGATTTCTTGACGCTGCTTAAACTACTTTATTAATTTATTTTAAGGAATTTTGGGTAGACGCCAGCCCTGGACTGGAAGAGGGGCTACCAGGACAGATTCCAGCGCCCTGACTGGGACTAGAACCTGGTGTGCTGGCACCGCAGGCGGAGGATTAGCCTAGTGAGCCACAGTGCCAGCCTTTTTACTTTTTTTTTCCCGGCTGGTCTACTTTTTAACCAGCTATCTGCTAATGTACCTTGGAAAGCAACAGAGAATGGCCCAACTTCTTGGGCCCCTGCACCCACATTGGACTGGCCCAACTCCATCCGTTGTGGCCATTTGGGGAGTGAACCAGAGAATGGAAGCTCTCTCTTTCTGTCTTTCCTTCTCTTTGTAACTCTGTCTTCTAGTAAATGTTAAATAAAATCTTAAAAAAATTGAAGGGGTGAAAAATATTTGAGTTTTGAAAGAATTTAGTTACTGATACAGCAAATACTTTCCATATTACTATATTTAGGGAAAGTCCAAGTAGAGTTAAAACTTAGGTTTTGGCTCACTGAGTGATACATTTGTTCCCTGTTTTATTTGAAAGACAGAAAGACAAAGATGTTCCATTCACTAGTTTATAGTCCCCAAATGCCTGCAAAAGCCACGGCTTAACCAGTCAGTCTGAAGCAAGGAGCCTGGAACTTAATCCAGGTCTCTGTTATGGTGACAGGAACCCAAGTATTTGAGCTATAACTACTGCTTTTCCAGTAGTATTCGCAAGAATACAACTTGGAAAGGAAGTAGCCAGAACTTGAACCAGAAACCCCAGTATGGGATGCTGGCGTCCCAGGTGGCTACTGAACTGCTGCACCAAACACCTGCCCCAGTAGATATGGTTTGGTTTTGGGAGTTTTGTTTGTTTGATTAATATTTGCATAGTTAGCTAACTAATTGTTTGTTTATTTGAAGAACAGAGTTATGGGAGCAGGGCGGAGACAGGGAAACAGAATTAGTTCTTCAGACTGCTAGTGCACTCCCCAAATAGCCACACCAGCCAGTCCGAAGCCAGAATCCAGGAACTCCATCCACATCTCCTATGTGGGTGGCAGGGGCCCAAGCAGTTGTGCCATATTTTGCTGCCTTCCCAGGCAAATCAGCAGGGAGCTGGATCAGAAGTGGAGCAGCTGGGACCTAAACTGGTGCCCATTTGGGGTGCTGGAGCTGCAGGCGGCAGCCTAGCCAGCCCCTCAGTAGATGATATTTAACACATTCCTTATATATATTTCCTTCCTTCCTTCCTTCCCTCCTTCCCTCCTTCCCTCCTTCCCTCCCTCCTTCCTTCCTTCCTTCCTTTTTAGCAGGCAGAGTGGACAGTGAGAGAAAGAGACAGAGACAAAGGTCTTCCTTTGCCGTTGGTTCGCCTTCCAATGGCCGCTGCGGACAGCGCACTGCCAGGAGCCAGGTGCTTCTCCTGGTCTCCCATGGGGTGCAGGGCAGAGTGGACAGTGAGAGAGAGAGAGACAGAGAGAAAGGTCTTCCTTTGCCGTTGGTTCACCCTCCAATGGCCGCCGCGGCCGGCGCACCGCGCTGATCCGATGGCAGGAGCCAGGAGCCAGGTGCTTCTTCTGGTCTCCCATGGGGTGCAGGGCCCAAGCACTTGGGCCATCCTCCACTGCACTCCCAGGCCACAGCAGAGAGCTGGCCTGGAAGAGGGGCAACTGGGACAGAATCCAGTGCCCCGAGCGGGCCTAGAACCCGGTGTGCCGGCGCCGCAATGCGGAGGATTAGCCTATTGAGCCGCGGCGCCAGCAAATGGAAAGCGAGCCCTCACAACAGCACGCAACCCTTATATATATTTTATTGAGTAACATGTGCCATGTGTCCAGCATTGTTTTAAAATAATTACTGGAAGATTCAGTTTGATTTGGATGGGTGATAGAAGACAAAGTCCACTTGGACTCTTTGATCTTTGGGTTTTTCTATACTTCAACGGGGCTAATCATTCTGATCTCTTTGCTTCAGGTCCCTTATTGGTTAAGTTCTGTACTGTGTGTGATTCCAGAACCTGGTACATTAGCTAGCACACTAAATTGGCTCAGTAAGGGTTAGGAACATATAGTGAATTGGGATTATCACACGCTTCTTTAAGGCTTTGACGTGAGTGGAGGCATACTTGACTGGAAGCCAGAATATATATTGTACTTTATGTTGGAATCTTGTTTGCTCGTTTATCACAGTCTGGGAAGATTTCAGCATCCACATTTCTAACCTAGCAGCAGTAACCGTGAACTTGCAGACTCCGGATAGCATCACACAGGGCACATTTCATCTCTGCAAAGGGCTGCCTGCCTCTCCGTTTCCACGGCTCGGCCTGTTTTCATATCTGATGCAGTGACATTCAGAGCCCATAGAAGAAGGCAGCAGCGTGGTGATAATGAATGAGGCTGTAGACAGTTTGTTCAGTGTCTTATTTTCTTTTTAATAACAGTGCTCTTTGATTAGATTTGTGTTGTGCTGGCATTGAGGGAGCTGTTGAAGATAAAATTGAGGGGCTGGTGTTGTGGTGTGACAGGTTAAAAGCCACCACCTGCGATGCCACCGGTTTGAGTCCCAGCTGCTCCACTTCTGATTCAGCTCCCTGCTAATGTGCCTGGGAAAGCAGCAGCAGATGACCCAAGTCCCTAGGCCCCTGCACCCATGTGGGAGACCCAGATGAAGCTCTTGGCTCCTGGATTCAGACTTGCTCAGCTCTGGCCATTGCAGGCATTTTGGGAGTGAACCAGCGGATGGAAGATCTCTTGTCTCTCCCTCTCTCTGTTTAGCTCTGCCTTTCAAATAAAATTAATTAATCTTTAAAGAAAAGAGAAGGATAAAATTGATGTTCTTTTTCTTACAGGTCCTTCGGTCTTGGAGACTCTGAGGGAGCCTCTGCACCCAGGGAAAATGTTACCCTTTACAGGGGGGAAGGGTAACCCAGTAGGGAATGCAGTACAATCCCTACCCTACTGGGAGGGGCGGGAGGGAGGTGTTGCCGTCACTGTATTAAGTCGATGTTGGGAAACGTTTTAACATCTGGAGCCTTTGTGGGTGGAAATCTGTCTCCAATTACAACTCTGCACTGGATGTGAAGAAGCAAAAAAATCTATCAGTCTACTCACAAAACAGTACATTCTGGAATATTATGGGGATTTGTACCAAAACAAGAACCATATAAATGATGCATAGGGATAAGAAAGAGGAAAAATCCTATAGCGCACAATAAAGGAAACCTAAGAATGGGGGTTACAAACAGTAAAGAAGCTCTTTTTTTTTAATTTAAAGATTTTTATATTAAATTTTCCCACTTGGTGGGGTCTGGTTTTGCATGCTGATAAAGAACTACACAGACAAAGCTAATAGAGTTAGAATCAGCTTGCCGTCCCACGGGAGACGCAGGTTCTTGGAAGTTACAGTTTAAAGTACCCCAGAAAAAAAGGTGGAAATAAAACAAATTTAAGAAATGAAGCACCCTATGAAATGCCAAATGAGTCACTCCTTTTACTTTCGTGGGGTGGGCAGGGAGAGAGGGGAGTAGGTGGGGTTGGGCATATCAAACTAAAGAGGACATGTTAATTTTGCATTAAAACATTAATGTAGTGGATATAATTTGATGGTTGTACTTCATTAGATTTAATTTCTAGGCCACAACTTAAAGTGCAGTTTAAGGTTCAGGCATGCATTCTGGCTCATAGTGATTGAAAGTGACTTAAATTAGTGGGGAAGTAGCATGCTTGCATCACATAGAGTGACACTGGTATTCATTTTACCTATGTTGCGCCAGTTTGTGTTGCAGTTTACCAATTCAAGTTAGCCCTGCATTTAAAATTCCTTTTTAAGATTTGTGGATTTTATTTTTATTAAGACTATAGATCTATAAAGTCCTGTAGTTTACAGCTAGGCCTTGAGATACCTTGCTTAGGATCTGTTAGGAATAAGGTTGATATTGTATTGTGTGTAACCTGCACAATGTGGAAAGCTGATATCCTGTGCAAAATCTTTGCCTCTGTGCTGTCAGTGTGATGTGCTTTCTGCATGGTTATATACTACTCGTGATTTTATCAGAAATTCTCAAATTCAAAATACATGGTAAAAGATCTGTAAAAGGCTGCATAAATGTTAGTTGGCACATAAAGACAATTGTAGAAGTTGAAAAATGATTGCTATATTTCAATGTTTATTCCCACTCAACATATTGCCTTCTAAGCTTTCTTTTTTCCTTTTTTCCTTTTTTATTCTTTTGTTCAAAGCATGATCTTGAAGATATGTTTAAGTTAATGGATGTAATGCAGGGTTCCTACACTGTATTGGCGCATGTTGGTGGCCCTCTGTGCCCTAAATATATGCACACAGGGTGCAAGTTAAAAGCTACAGAGTGAAAGTTGGTTTGGATCCTCTTCATTTCATTTGTTTAGCTTTTCTGTTATTTTCTCTACTTACATGTATTCCTGTGAATAAATCCTTGTTAAGTTAACCCTTTACTTTTCCTTCCATGTGTATTTTCTTATATACTGTGAATGTGAAAACCTAACTGGTACACTTGATCTTGTGTCCATATGAAAGTGCAAATCTTTATTAATTTGGATTGCCTGAACAGTGTATCCCATGATGATGAAGGAAAAATGGAGAGAATTTTCTTTTTAACTCTGCTGGTCAGAGACAAAGCCACACCTTTCCATTTTTCGATGCTGCATATTTAATCTGCAACAAAAAAATGTTAAGCCATAACAGCCTTTTTATATTTTAGTTTGTCACCTTTGCATTGCAGAATAAATCCTGAGTAACCATTTTTATAAGCAGTTGCTCCTCTTTGCATGGTTCTGTTCTCTAAAAGTTTTGAATGATACAGCCATTGCACTGAAGTTTGAGCTATGTGTGTGTGAATTTAAAAATACTGTTTCAAAAATTTTCAAGTGCATGGTAGCATGCAGAAAGGTTGTTCTTGTATGTGTGTGTTTGTTTTTTTAACATGTTCTTTCACCTACTTCTACTTTGGCTTTGCAAATTTCAGTCTGTAGAGCCTGAAATTAAATCATTTTATAACAGCCAATTTTTTTAAAAAGTTGTGAATTGGAGTCAGAGGGGATGTAGCATTTTACTCTCTAGCTCGGTTGCATCACTGGGAGCTCAAAGTTAATCTTTAATACCTTAGTAGGGTAACTGTGTTAGCAACTATTTTAAATGGAAATAGCCAAATTCCTCTCTGATGATGATCACAGTAGAACAAATATATATCAAAACAACTAAGTTTATCTGGACCTGTGATTGACAATTCTGTATTGACTAAAAGCAATATTGTCACCTGTCTGAAAAATTAAGTTTCCAGTTAGGCAGATGTGTAACATAAGAATGTGCCCAGTTTTGTAGTCACTTGACCGTTTTTACATTTCAAGGAAATTTAATTTTAAAATAGAAAATAAAAGTAAGTAAACACAACTGGCAACCTGAGATTGAGCTGGCTTTTTTTGTGTGTATTTTCCCCCTTGAGGTTATTGTTTTCTTCCTGATTTATATTTCAGATAACATAGTATAGCACAGGAATTTGCAGAAGCCATTTAAGTTATCTTTTGAGGTAAGCTCTGATTCAGCATTTACTGTTCTGATAAAACCTAATACATCATGGGATATATATAAAGCAACTTAATTCTTGTGGTGTAGTCTTAATAGTTTTGAATGTTGACTGAATGTCTATGAAATTGTGAGTTTGTCTTTGTTACATTCCAGTGTTTCTGCCTGTTGGCATGCTTAAGGCACGGCTTACTTCATCTGCTCCTTACACACTAAAATGCTGTTAGTGTGCTCAACTACATAAAAATAGCCGCTGCTACGTGATGTAGATTTTCTACTTGAATATTTTTATGTTGTAGGAACCTCAGGAGGTCAGTGTTTACTGTTTTATATATGCCTTCTTTTTCCTGTTTGAGCTTCTCTCTTTGAAGGATTCTAACAGAACAAAAGCTGCTGATCAACCTAAGTTGGAAACAGAAAGTGTATTTTTAATATAATTTAAGTGCACATTTGGCAGTTCCATGTTACAGCCCTTAGCAAGTGAACTTAGTGCCATAGATATTCATTTATTCAAGAAAGCGTTTTGCTTTTTGTATTGTCTAATCTCTTCAGTGACTTCATACTGTGTAAAAAGTAATCAGTTTTATATTTTTTTGGTTGGTTGGTTGTTTCCCAAATAATCAACGTGTAAATAGTCTTCAAGAGCCAGTTCTGATGCTTTACATTATTGCTACTTGATTTTGTTAATAAGCAAGTTAGATTTCAGAAGAATAGGTTTTAAAACACTTAACCAAGCCATTACATACTAAAAACAAAACAAGTAGCATACATTTTGTAAGTAACATATTGATATAAACACTGTGATTTTTTGGTTAAGACTTTTTCATTGATCTGAATTGCTTAAATTGCATATATTGTAAAATAGAATCAGATGTATATTTTAAAAATAATTTCAACTGACTTTCTTCTTGAAATGCTTTGTCTACTCAGTTATAAAATATTTCAGATACAAGTTTTATCTCAGGTGAATACTCTTGTATCAATTTTGCTTTGATGACATAGGCTTATAAAGGGTCATCATACTTACATTCTTTGTTTTTTAATGGCTTTCATTGAGAATCTTCCCGTTTTATTTTTCCTTTCTGTTTTTCTTCTGGTTTTTTTCCCCCCAATTCCTTTAGCAGACCAGAGTGATATAAAATCGTTCTGACAAGCCTTTTGCATGCAGGTTTGTCTGAAGATGAATTAAATTTGGGCCTCCTTTCTTCCAAATCCTCAAAATAGCAGAATGGGAATTTGTCTCCCCTCTGTAAAGTTATTCTGTGTAGCTGAAATGCCAGAATACAACCGTGTCTTAAACCCTTCAGTCTAAATGTAAGTCCTTTGCCATGAGGAAAAAGTGGTTTTTTGCTTCATATAGTTAATCTATATTATTCATATTGAATGTATTAACAGATAACGGTGCAAAAACATTCTTCCCAGGAGAAGAATGTGTCATGCATAAGTGCAGTTTAAATCCTTCCTTTGGTAGTAGTTTAAAACACAGCTTTGCTTATTGAATTATTTTTGCAAATAATACAGGGAGAGGGTAGCACACACTAATTGTTGGTACTGTTACTATTAATGAAGTACAGCATTGGAATCTTGAAGAAAACCCGTCCTCGGATGGTTAAGGGCCTGGGATAATCTAGATGAGAAAACAGATCGATAACAGGCTGTGTTAACAATATTATATAGTACTGATACCGTGCAGTAGCTTTGTATACCAACTTAGTGCATTTCACACTGTATTAAACATGGAGATACTTCTAATCTGTCTTCAAATTTTTACATCCTTGTTAGTTCATTCACCTGTATAAAGTCTTACATAGACCTTTCCCACATTGGCATTACTTATGTAGATAATCTTTATGTCTGATTGTTACATTAATTTCTAAAGTATACATTTAAATGACAGCAACTGTCTATTGTGGCTTGTATCCCAGAATGTTTTGTATGTGTATTTTTTTTTAAAGATGCATAATAACTAAATGTGTGCATGCATGATTTTGAGGAAAGTTAAAGTAGTGATTTTTTTTCCCCACCTTTTTAAAACCAAGCCAGATCTGTAGATCTGTTTGCCAAGGTAGGCTGCCACTAATTAGAAAACCAGTAGTTTTCCTTTTATTATTACAAATTTTGTTTATTTACAATAGAATCCTGTTATGCTATGGCTTGGTGTTATGCAGAAATAACTGTCTTATATCTATCTAATTCTCTTTCTCTTAAAACCTACTATAATAACTTGGTTAGCCTAAAAGGCAGTATTGGTCCCCTCCTGTTACCAGCCTCATAAAGGGGTTCTGCTCTACTTTCCTCATCACTGTGTTTTCCTTTGTGGATGTATAACCAAACTGAGCTTGAGTGATTTGTATGGAGGTAATAATTAGACAATACTGTATAATTAATTTTACTGAATAGATTATCATCTTGTGAGAAGAGATATTTAAACATGGTAAATGGCTTCACTTCATACTATAAAAGTTCTCCTATTCATGTTAACATTGGGTGCAATAATTTTAGTAGTGTTAGCTTTAGTTCTAAGTAACTGGATCTTTCTGCTGACAACTTAGGTTGTATGAGTTATGCTTCAAAGCTTTAAATCTGACGTTTCCTGTACCGCCACACTATGTTAGAATGTGTCCTTCAAACATATCCTCCTGCAACTTCTCCAAATGTACTCGATTGATATTCCTTCTAACTCTGTGCTAACAGATCTTCATTTTAAATAGAATACGGTTTTAATTTTTGATAAGCTGCTGACTTTTAAAGAGAGTTTTTTGGGGCCACCAAATATTTTGGATCATGCAGAGAATATATATTGTACTGTAGTAATTTTGTATTTACATTTGTATGATGTGACATAATAGATGTGAATGTTAATCACTGCTTGACTATGTTAATAAAGTTGTTTAACTATAGACGTTGCACTCTGATTTTTAATGAAAGGAAATGAGCTTGCCTTCTCCCCCTCCTCCGTTTTAGGTCCAGGTAGTCAGGATTTTTTTTTTCTTAGTTTACACATTAAGCCACTCTTACTATTTAGCATCTTTTATTTTTTTAATTGAGCGTTTTCTGATTTGTATAAGGTAGTAAAACCTATATTTCCCCACATTTAACTTAACTCCTATTGAAATTTCTGAACAGTCGATCTTAGGTTCAGCTGTTTGAGGATGGGGAAGATACTGCTGTGCAGAAGGGGAATTAAAATAAAGGTGGAATTGTCAACATACAGCACTGGCGGAAGGTAGAGTGTATGAGTGTGTGTGGGTGTTTGTCCTGTCGAGTCTTCCTGTCCCCCTTCACAGGCTTTGAGACTTGGAACTTTAGAAATTAACATTTGTAGAAGTAGTATTTCTTCAGGTTGTAATCCATTAATAGAGTTGCATGTTACTAATTAAAGTTAAATGTATTAATAGACTTCAGGGGATATGTACACATAGCTATCTGTGTGATTTACTTGAGATTTGGAACAGGAAAGGGTGTGAGGACCGATCAGTATACCCCAGAGCCTGTGTAAAATAAGTGAGGGTTGGGTTTCTTTCCCTTTGTTACCTGCGCATAGAAATGTTTGAGACGCCTCTGTTGTTTTGAGGAGGGTAAAAAAAAAAAAATTGGAACTTGGGTATCATGTTGTAAAATGGATCTTCAAGAAAGAATTTAAGATTCTAGAATTAGAACTTGGGCTGTTGAAGAAGATAAAACTAAAATAGGCCTAAATTACTAGTTCAAGATTTTAATTTGCTGCTGCAATCATAAACTGCTTGAAGCTGAGATTCTTTTCTGTGAGTGGTCATTAACATTTTAGTGGAACTAAAGTCCTATTGGCTTTATGCAAACAATCTTTTTCTTCATTCGAATGATTGAACCATCTTAATTAATAATAAATGAATAAAAAGGGGCTTATAGGTTTTGACACTGACAGGCGTGTTTATAATGTATTAATCTGATTCCAACAGATCACTACTTGTGATTCTTCAGGAATGATTGGAAAGATGGCAATCGGAATTGTACAGGCCAGAGTTTGGATTTCCTCTGTACTGTGTAGTTGAATAAAGAAACTATTTGGAGCTTTGACTCGTTTTGTAGTCGTGAATCTGAGTCTTCTGGGAATTTATAAAAGTTTAAAACCTGATCTAAAATTCTCCGGTGTTCCGTTAGACAATTTGCAAATCGCAGTTGGGAGGTACATCACAAGTTCTAGGTCATTAGCAGTAACAATGAAGAATTACTGTACCAAGAACCTTTGTAAGGTTTTTGTGCCACTCATTTCTAAGCGTGTTAACAGCGATCTTACCCTGCCTGACCATTTAAGTTTCAAATGTTCCTCTTCAATGTGAATGTTACAATTTGGAAAACTCCACTAACAAGTAAAGAGAAGTGAGGAGCAGGCATTTGGCCTAGCAGTTAAGATGCCCACAGCCCTGTCACGTGGGTTCAAGGTCCAGCTCCACTCCAGATCACAGCCTCCTGCTGATGCAGTTCCTGGGAGGCAGCAGGCGCTTGTTGAAGTGATGAGGTCTCTACCATCTAATGAGATGTAACTGCTGTTAAATTCAGGTACACATTGACTATACAGCGAATTTGGGCATTGTTTTTAGTTGGTATGTTCTATCCAAATCTGGTCACATTGTAGCTACATGATCTGTAAACAGTTTACACAACCATCTTCACTATGGGACTTTTGAGAAGTTATTTCTGATTTTTCACTCTTGAGAAAGAAGATGGTAATGAAGGTGCCCGAACCTGTATGCTCGCATTTGTGTGCAGCAACTTCGTAGTGGAATTGTTGAGTCAGAATCAGGTGGATACAGCCAAATTGCCTTTGAATAAAGGAGCAGGTTGTGATGTATTTTATGATTTGATTATATAATATTACATTTAGGAAACTTAAATGTTTCCTTTTTTTTTGATAGAGTGGACAGTGAGAAAAAGAGAGAGAAAGGTCTTCCTTTGCTGTTGGTTCACCCTCCATTGGCCGCCGCGGCTGGCGCGCTGATCCGATGGCAGGAGCCAGGTGCTTTTCCTGGTCTCCTATGGGGTGCAGGGCCCAAGCACCTGGGCCATCCTCCACTGCACTCCCTGGCCACAGCAGAGAGCTGGCCTGGAAGAGGGGCAACCGGGACAGAATCCGGCGCTCCGACTGGGACTAGAACCCGGTGTGCCGGCGCCGCTAGGCGGAGGATTAGCCTAGTGAGCCGCGGCGCCGGCCTAAGCTTTTTTTTTTTCTTTTCTTTTCTTTTTTTTCTTTTTCTTTTTTTTTTTTTTTTGACAGTTACAGAGAGTCTTCCTTCCGTTGGTTCACTCCCCAAATGGCCGCTACAGCCGGAGCTGCTCCGATCTGAAGCCAGAGGCCAGGTGCTTCTTCCTGGTCTCCCATGTGGATGCAGCAGCCCAAGCACTTGGGCCATCCTCCACTGCCCTCCCGGGCCACAGCAGAGCTGGACTGGAAGAGGAGCATCCGGGACTAGAACCCGGTGCCCATATGGGATGCCAGTGCCACAGGCGGAGGATTAACCAAGTGAGCCATGGTGCCGGCCCCCATCTGTTTCCATATTACATGCAAGTGCTATTCCCTGGACTCAGAACTTGGATTTTATTGTAGGGGGACAGATGGATAGCAAGTGTGATGAGAAGGTGGTAACAGTTAGGGAGCCTTGCTGTTTCACACAGAAGCTAGAGAAAGATCTGACAGGGTGTCATTAGAGCGAAAACCCAAGAAGCATTTCAGTTAAAGGAAACAAGGACAGATAACCTGAACCCGAGACAGGTGTTTCTGTCTGTCACAGGAATAACAGGTGTGGCTTGAGTGCCCAGAGCAGGTGAGACAAGTTTGATCCACGACGTGAAAGAGTAGACTTGAGTGGCACGGTGGAGGCAAGGAGACCACTAAAAATGGAGATGTTTCAAAGACAAGTGCAAGGCTTGCCAACGCTGGATATGGGTTGTGAGGGGAGATGGCCCTTTGGACTTTGGGCCTGATGTGAGCTTCTGGAAGAATGGCATTGGTATTTGCTGGCATAGAAAAAAGCAGCCATTAGGTTTAAGACATGCGTGAGAAATGGAGCAGTCAGCTGGAGTTCAGAGGGGTTGAGCTGGCCGAAGATGGAAAATGAAACGTGTTTATAAACAGCGTTTCTACCCGTGCAACTGAAGAGTCATCTGAGGACTGGAGAAGAGACACAAAACCCTGAGCCGCGGCGCCGGCACAAAACCCAGAAGTCTTGAAAAAAGTTTTTTTTGTCTTTTAAGATCCATGTGACAGTGACAGGGGAGACAGGTCTTTCATCACTGGTTCACTTAGAGGCTGGGACTGGACCAGGCTGAAGGCAGGAGCCTAAAACTGCCATTTAGGTCTTCTCACATGGTGACAGGGGCTCAAATTGAACCATCTTCCGTTGCCTTCCCAGGCACATTAAGGAGGGCAGATTGGAAGCATAGCAGCCAGGGCTGTGAACCAGCACTCCTGTGTGGGGAAGCTAACATTGCAATCCAGCAGCTGAACCCACTGCACATGGTGCTAGCCCTGATTTTTTTAAAAAAATACAGTTTTAGCCACTGCCTGTGACATTGACATCCCATATGGGCACCAGTTTGAGTCCCTGCTGCTTCAGTTCTCATCCAACTCCCTGCCAAGGTAGTGGGAAGGTAGTGGATGATGACCCAATTCCCTGGGTGCCTGCCACCTGGATGAAGCTCCTGGCTTTGGCCTAGCACAGCCCCAGTTGTTTCCACCTTTTGGGAAGTGAACAGGTGGATAGAAAATAAATTGATCTCTGGGCCGGCACCGCGGCTCACTAGGCTAATCCTCCGCCTTGCGGCGCCGGCACACTGGGTTCTAGTCCCGGTTGGGGCGCCAGATTCTGTCCCGGTTGCCCCTCTTCCAGGCCAGCTCTCTGCTGTGGCCAGGGAGTGCAGTGGAGGATGGCCAAAGTACTTGGGCCCTGCACCCCATGGGAGACCAGGAGAAGCACCTGGCTCCTGCCTTCGGATCAGCGCGATGCGCCGGCCGTAGCGCGCCGGCCGTGGCGGCCATTGGAGGGTGAACCAATGGCAAAGGAAGACCTTCCTCTCTGTCTCTCTCACTGTCCACTCTGCCTGTCAAATAAATAAATAAATAAATTGATCTCTAACCCTGCCTTTCAAATAAACACTAAAAACCTTGATAGTCTTAAAACCTTGAGAGAAAATTAGCAGGTCCTGTCACAGAAAATTGGTGTTCTGAGGGTGTGTATGTGTGTGTGAGAGAGAAATACTACAAGAGGCTGACACTGTGGCATAGCAGGTAAAGCCCCCACCTGCAGCGCTGGCATCCCATATGGGTGCCAGTTTGAGTCTTGGCTGCTCCTCCGGTCTAGCTCTCTGTTATGGCCTGGGAAAGCAGAAGATGGCCCAAGTCCTTGGGCTCCTGCATCCACGTGTGGGAGGCCCAGAAGAAGCTCCTGGCTTTGGATTGGCGCAGCTCTGGCCCTGCAGCCTTTTGGGGAGTGAACGAGTAGATGGAAGATACTCATTCACTTCTGCCCCTCTCAAACTGCCTTTCAAATAAATAAATCCTTAAAAAAAAAAAAAAAAAGACTACCCAGTAGAAAAATGAGCAAAGGATACAGTTACTTCACAGAAAAGTTTTGAGTTTCAGACATACTTCATTAATCCAACTAATACCCTTTTTGCAGTCTATGGGGCCAGTGCTGGATGTATATGCAGTCTGTTGTCGACTGAGTATTATGTAATACATAGCTGTTATATATTTGACCTGTAAATCATTACTTAACCCACATAACAGCCCATAAACAAGTTAAAAAATGCTGAAATGTTCATTAATTTGGCAAAAATTAAAAATTGTGATCGCAATTGTTGAGAAGATGGCATGGTGGCAGAACAGGAAGTGAGGATGCTGATTCCGCACAACTGCTTTGGAGACCAGCTTTAAACTTTATAAAGTTGGATCCTTGCATCTGCTGATGACAGTTCCGCCCTTTAGAGAGTATGTGTGTGCACGCGCGTGCACCCGCATATATATTTATCCCTTAGAATAATCACTAGTAGGCCAGGAAGCAAGACTCCTTACATCAGCACTAAAATAGAAAATGAAAAGGAACAATGTAAATACCCAACAGAAGAACTGAATTTCAGAAACCGCACAGGGTCGGGCATTTGGCACAGTGGTTAAGTCCCCACTTGGGACCCAGCATCCTGATTCCACTCCCAGGCGGGGAACAACAGATGATGGCTCAAGTAGTTGGATCCCTGCTGTGCAGGTGGGAGAGCCAGACAGAGTTCTGAATTCTGCCCAGCCTTGGCTGTTGTGGGCATTTGGGGAATGAATCAGTGGTTGGGAGATTCTTGTTCCCTGCCTTTCAAATAAAAATGACTTAAATTTTTAAAAATCATGCTGATCCAAAAAAGCCAATGTGAGTAGAATACCACAGAGAAATCACGTCTCTAATTCAAACCCAAAGACCGGTGATGAATGTGTTAGGGTAGTGTCCGGAAGAGCCAAAGGCATTCCCACGAGGAGGGGACTGGGTGGTGGGCACCTGGTGTTCTTAGTGGTGTGCTCTAAGTGGTGTGAATATAGGCAGCCCAAGAGCAGGGCTATTTGGTAACCAGGTATTGACATACTGATCCGTAAGCAAGTTTCCTCTGTATAAGAAAACCAGTCCTTGGGGTGGGGGAGAGCAGGCCGATTTATATAACAAATGTTGTGTATGATGTTTTAACACAAAGCCATTTCCATACAGTATACTTGGAAACTAAAGAGCATGAGAGCTTTCGCTATTAACTAATCCGTATTTCCTACAAGGCCAGGTAATACACTTGTGAATTCACCTTTCTGACACCTTGACTGATAAATTAAGTAACCACTTCTGCTTGTTCACTTAGAAGGCTCATTTTCCCAAATTAAAAAGAATTTCTAAGTTGCTGTCTTCTGAACATTGACTTCCTCATCACAGCTTAGACTTGAAGCAATTTAGCACTTACCCAATCTTCAAGTATTTTAGGGTTTTTTTTTAAACATCATCTTTGTTTTTCAGTTGTTGGCATGCATATTTTTGTTAAGATACTTAAAATGAACTTCAATTTCCTTGAGATCCTCTTAGGACTTATGCTGAACAATGTATAGGTGAAATTATTTCCACTAGAGGGAGCCAGTTCCCTAGGTAAACCCTGGGCTGTAGTGTTTTGTAAGAATCAGGCAGATGTGTGTAACGAGCAGATGTCCACTCCTTAGGTCACTCACCTCAGTGTGACACTTTTGTATGAAAATAACCTTGAAGGTGCATTTATCCAGAGCAGCTTTTAAACAACAGTGTTCCCGTGGCCTGCAGGAAATTTTCAAAATGTTTCCTGAAGTCCAAATACAAGGTTCTTGATTTGTTCAGGACACTTCAAACTTCAGTCTACAAAGGTGTCACCTGGGAGTCGTGGTTGATTGGGCCTGAGATTGAGCATTGCTAACAGGCTTTCGAGTGATGCCTTGCTGTCTGTGGACCTCACGAGTTCCCAAGGGCCTGAAGTTTATGACAGTGATGATAAAAGGATAATGTGTAGGCTTCACAGAAAACCAGGGGCTTTGTCTTGTTTGCTCAAGTGTCTGCAGTGCCCTGAAAAAACTGGTGAAACAAAGTAGATGATCAGTAAATAAGTGTTGAGTGCAGAATGAGCACTTTATGTATATTAGCTGCTTTAATCTGGACAGCTCCTAAGATAAACACTGTTATTCCTGTTTCGAGGAAAGCAAGCAGGTTTACTGTGCCGCGGGACCAGGATTTGAACCAAGCAGTTAAACTTATCAGTGTGGCCTTGAGGCCTGTGGTTTAACAAAAATGCTGTGCTGTCCCCAACAGAGACTTCAGGTAACCTCTGCAGACAGTCACCAACAAAGAGCTCCAGCCTCGGACTGGTGCAGGTGAAGGCCTCATGCCTGTTTGTGGCCCCTTGTTCCTGTCAAGTTATGGAGCTTGCTGTTCCACCGCATGGACTTCCAGTGATGGTAGCCAAGAGCTCATGCCAACCGCGTGGAGAGCATCTCCTCTCTTTTTGGACAAGAGACAGAAACAAGACAATTTAGTTAGGATCCACTCTGTTGACAAGTCGCCCCAGTGCTCACCCCATTGCCTAGTTAAGCCTTGCAGTTTCATAAATTGTCATGATCCCAAATCAGCCCTCCTCCCATGTTCCTTGTCCGTGAGCCAATTGGAGCCATTTCACGGGTCTTAGACTGGGGCCACATTCACTCCCCTGACTTGCTATTGGAAAGTGCTATCCCAGCTCTATCATTGTCACAAGGAATTTCATCTTAGGCTGTTACTTTTGCTAGTCTTCTGAAGTCACCAATTTAATCTCATTTGCAATACGGACAAAGAGGAGATGGCTATTTGAAAAATTTTTATCCACCAGAAGTCAATATATAACTCAAATAATGGAAGGGTGGGTTGTATTAATAAAACTCATTTACTGTGGGGGTAATCCATATCCTACTTACAGCAAAGACTTTATTTGTGGTTGGAAGTTAAGCTGTAGCTTCATATTTGAGTATGTATCTCAGTAAAAACATGGTTGTTGTGTAGTTCAGGGAAACCCACGGGTATTCCAGAAAGCTTCCATCTTAGGAAATATAAAAGCCACTTTAAGCTCAGATTTACTTAAGATCTTTCCTTCACCTTTTAAATGTCTTTGTTTCTTGTGATCCCAATGTAGACTGGACATACTTCTCCCACAGCTCTTCACACACTCTGCAGAAACCCTTAGCATATTAAAATGGTTTCCTTCCGAGGGTCCTTTTGGGCCAAATCAAATTTCAGAAGTTCAGTGTCATCTGGCCTCTTCCTGGTCCTGGCTCATCTCTGTTCCCCCAACACACAGTGCGTGAAGCCCTAAGGTCTTTGTGCCAACCCTGTCCCAGATCAGAGCTGCCCTGCCCTCTTCCTAGCGTGGCTGGCTCCTGGTCATTCATATTTTAGGTGGAATATCGCCTGCCCACAGGGCCTTTCCTCCCCAGGCCAACTAACCTACAAGTAGGCTGCCGTCACCACTCCCGGTTTCAGTTTTCCAGTTAACACAAGTTCCTTTTCACGTCTCTTTAGCCTATTCCAATATCTGACAGTCGCTCAGACGCTGCTGTCGTGGCCTTTGCTGTTTCAAAGGGTATTGGTATTTTGTCGAATTTTTCTCCGTTTGGGAGTGCCAAGGATTAAACTGGAGTTAAGAAGGTTGAGTGCTACAGAGGGAATGTGTGACGTCAGCATGACGTGTTCCTGAAGAGGTTCTCTCTGATCGCTTGCTGACAGTGACGGCTGCCTGCGCTGTCTGTGCTTGAGTGTCTCCTTTTTGCTTTCCTTGCTCCATTCTTTGGAGGTGATCTGTGAAGTCCAGCCCACACTGGAGAGGACCAGAATCAAACCTGACTTCCTGGAACCTGGGGGATTGCCTACATAGCTGATTTGTAATTCCTCTCCCAAGAAGACATGTCGCTTTTCTATTGTGTCTAATCATTTGTATCAGTATGGACTCAGATTTCATCATTACTATTATTTTTTGGGCTCTAATCTCAAGCTACTATTTTGTTGTTAAATTGTTCCGACATGGGCCGTTGGGAACACTTCCCAGTTGGGTCCAGCGTGCTTTTTGACATGCCCTGTTGCTTTTTTATTTTTTAGTGCTTCTTTCCTTTCTGACACTCCATGATGCCCCAGTCCTAGAATCACTGAGGAGTCCTGTTTCTTCTTATTGGAGAACAGGATTTAGAAGCCAACATCTGTGTGTCATGTGTGTTGACTGCAGTTGCCACTGTTGTGCATGCCACAAGGAAATGGCATCCGTGTGAACCCACGTCTCTATTTCTCTGTAGCTGCGCAAAAATAAATCGTTTCAGACTGACGTATTCAGCTTTAATCCATGCTAGCTCCCCCAGGCACACAAGCTTTGCCTTGCTTCAACTATTTTCTTTCTTTCTTTCTTTCTTTCTTTCTTTCTTTCTTTCTTTCTTTCTTTCTTTCTTTCTTTCTTTCTTTCTTTCTTATTAAGATTTATTTATTTGAAAGTCAGAGTTACACAGAGAGAGGAGAGGCAGAGCAGGGAGGGGGTCGTCTTCCATCTGCTGGTTTACCCCCCGATTGGTTGCAACCGCTGGAGCTGAGCTGATCTGAAGCCAGGAGCTTCTTCCGGGTCTCCCACACAGGTGCAGGGGCCCCAGGACTTGGGCCATCTTCTACTGCTTTCCCAGGCCAGAGCAGAGAGCTGGATTGGAAGTGGAGCAGCCGGAACTCAAACCGCCACCCATATGGGATGATGGCACTGCAGGCAGTGGCTTTACCCGTTAAGCCACAGCACCAGCCCCAGCACGTAGCTTTTGAGTCTGGCCTCTTTCACTTAGCAAAATGCATTTATGATCCCCCCTACAGAGCCAGTGCCAAGGCACAGTAGGTTACTCCTCTGCCTGCAGCACTGGCATCCCATATGGGCACCCATTCAAGTCCTGGCTGCTCCACTTCCAATCCAGATCTCTGCCATGGCCTGGGAAAGCAGTGGAAGATGGTCCACATGCTTGGCCTCCTGCACCCACGTGGGAGACCCAGAAGAGACTCCTGGCTCTGCTCTGGCCATTGTGGCCAATTGGAGAGTGAACCAGCAGATGGAAGACCTCTCTCTCTCTCTCTGTCTCTGTCTCTCTCTCTCTCTCTGCCTCTTCTCTCTCTGTAACTGACTTTCAAATAAATAAAATCTTAAAAAAAAAAAAAAGATCTCCCCACACACATATGCTCCCTTTATTGCTGCATTCACTGTCCTTGCACTGGTAAAGAACATCATTGCCAGCTTGTGCAAATTACAGATAAAGCTACTGTAAACCTTCAGTAGAGGTGTTTGTGTGAACACACGGTGCTCATCTGGGAGCATATTGATGTTTTAGGGCTGTCAGCTTTGAGGCAATAAGTCACTAATGCTGTTCCCTCTTCCCTGCATGGGATGTTTTAGAGCAAGTTGTGGAAGCCCTTTTATCTATGAATTCCTCCAAGTGCGTGTCCTAAATTATCCTCTTACATAACCACAGGATGATGATGGAATGAAGATCTAATTTGCAACCTTTTCAAAGTTTCCTAATTGCCCTGCTGTCACTTGTAACATGAGAAGATTCTCAGGTCACTCATTGCATTCAGGTGGCTTCACCTATTTCTTTAAAAAAAAAAAAAAAGATTTTATTTATTTATTTAAAAAGTAGAGTTACAGACAGTGAGAAGGAGAGAGAGAGGTCTTCCGTCCACTGGTTCACTCCCCAAATGGCCGCAATGGCTGGAGCTGCACCAATCTGAAGCCAGGAGCCAGATGCTTCTTCTGGGTCTTCCATGCGGGTGCAGGGGTCCAAGTACTTGGGCCTTCTTCTACTGCTTTCCCAGGCCACAGCAGAGAGCTGGATCGGAGCAGCCAGGACTCCAACCGGCGCCCATATGGGATGCTGGCACCCAGGCGGCGACTGCACCTGCTATACCAGGGTGCCAGCCCCTTCACCTATTTCTTTTCATCTGGACAGAGATCCTGCTGTCACCTCTTTCATGACATTGACATTTCCAGACAGAGATCATCTTGCAGAATGTCTCACAATGTCAGTCCATCTGTTTGCTTACTTTACTGCTGAATCCACAAACACAAGAGAACTTTCAAAAGTCCATAGAGAAGAGCATTAAAATGTTAGTTTGGGGGCAGGCAGTTAGCCTAGCAGTTAAGATGCGCATGTTCCGTACTGTGTACCTGAGTTCAATCCCTGGCTCTGGCTCCTGACTCCAGCTCCCTGCTAATGCATTTCCTGGGGGGCTGCCATGATGGCTCAAACAATTGACTTCCTGCCGCAAAGCTCTTAACTTCAGCCCAGCCCAGTCCTGGCTGTTGCAGGCATTTGGGGAGAGAACCAATAGATGGGTGTACTTATCTCTCTATCTCTCTATCTCTCTCTGTCTCTATCTCTCTCCCTCTCAGATAAATGAGAAGTTTATTTTGGTGCAAAAGAATTCTGAAATGCATGCCTAGTTTTTTTTTTTTGTTTTTTTTTTTTTCATAAAACACTCTCCATGAGCTTTTTGAAGTAGCTTCATGTACATTTTTGGCAGAAATACTATTTTATCAGGAAAAGGGTGAAGGCACTGGCTTCCCCTCCATAACTAATCAGTAACTTGTAGGCTGTTACTGTGAAATTATGCAAATATCTTGTTTTTCATTACAGTTTGAGTTCTAGCATTTATTGATTATTCTTGCCTGAGCCAAATATTGCCATGTGCATTACCAAATTGTGTTTTCCTACATGTTTTAGTTGGCACCCTATTATAAGGAAAGTTTTCCTTTGCTACTACTTATTGATTTATATCAGTAAGAATACATGCATTTTAAATAATTTTGTCTTTAAATGTGTGTTGGATTAACACTTGGTAACTTTAAAAATTACATATTTGAGAGGCAGAGAGACAGACAGAGCTACCATCTGCTGGCTTACTTCCCAAGTGCCTGCACCAGCTGGGGCTAGGCAGAACTGAAACCAGGAGCTGGAAGCTTTTTTGCTTTTTTTTTTTTTAAAGATTTATTTTATTTATTTTAAAGACAGAGTTATATTTAGAGAGAAGTTTTCCACCCATTGGTTCACTCCCCCAAGTGGCTGCAATGGCAAGAGCTGGGCTGATCCAAAGCTTGGAGCTTCTTCCTGGTCTCCCATGTGGGTGCAGGGCCCAAGCACTTGGGCCATCCTCCACTGCCTTCCCAGGCCACAGCAGAGAGCTGGATGGAATAGGAGCAGCTGGGACTGTCCCAGAAGGTGGGCTGCTGCGTGACAATGGAGGTGGGGAGGAGTGTGTGTGACCTTCAGCCAATGCACTGAAGCCTCTTAGATCCCTGGACTCCTGAGCAGAATCACGCCCGCTCAGACACTCGGAAGATAACCTCGGGTGGGCTCTTGGACCCCTGGGCCTGTGCCTGATCCACCCGTTACTGAGAGAGGAAAACTCAAATTGGTTGACTTTCCTATTTCCTTTTGGAGTTCTATCAATGTTTGAATTATACACATAAAAGATAGAGTCTTAGGTATATATAAATTATCTAATTCCCAGGGAATTGAATTTGCCATAATGAGAAATTCATAAATATAAACTAATAAGGAGATGATAACTTATACAAATGTTTATTAATTATACCAGCTTCCTTTTGGTTTGTATTGCCTGACGTCCATATTTCCATTCTTTTTCAATCTTGTATGTGTCACCAATCAAAAACCATACCTGGATTTGCTTTTTAAATCCCATCTGACGGTTTGTGCTTTGCACTGGGGAGTTCTAATCTGCTTGCATGTGTTACGATGACTGCCACTTGTGCCCTTATCCAGCTTCCCATCTCTCCTGCACTGCTCCTTTTCCCTGCCTCCTTAACATTTCTTAATAAAGATGTGTTCATTCTTGGAAAGGCAGAGTTACAGAGAAAGAGATTTCCATTTGCTGGTTCACTCCCCAAGTGGCCACAGCAGCCAGAGCTGGGCCAGGCCAAAACCAGGAGCCAGGAGCCTCCTCCAGGCCTCTCATGTGGATAACAGGGGCCCAAGTACTTGTGCCATTCTCCACTGCTTTCCCAGGCGCATTAGCAGGGAGCTGGACAGGAAGTAGAGCAGCCAGGACTTGAACCGGCTCCCATACAGGATGCTGGCACTGTAGGTGGTGGCTTAACCTACTACACCACAGCACCGGCCCCTTAAAGCTTTTTTTTTTTTTTTTTTAAGATTTTAATTAATTTATTTGAAAGAGTTAGGAAGAGAGATCTTACATCCACTGGTTCACTCTTCAGATGGCTACAATGGCGGGACTGGGACAGGTGAAGCCAAGAGACAGGAGTTTCATCCGGGTCTCCCACGTGGCTGCAAAGGCCCAAGCACTACGGCATCCTCCACAAATTTCCCTGGGAGCTGGATCAGAAGTAGAACAGGCAAGACTTGAATCAGCACCCATATGGGATGCTGGTATCGCAGGCTGTGGCTTTACCCACTATGCTACCATACTGCCCCCTAGTTTTTTTTTTTTTTTTTTTAAGGATTTATTTATTTACTTGAAAGAGTTACACAGAAAGAGAGGGAGAGGCAGAGAGAGAGAGAGGTCTTCCATCTGCTGGTTCACTCCCGAAATGGCCGCAATGGCTGGAGCTGTGCCGATCCAAAGGCAGGAGCCAGGAGCTTCTTCCAGGTCTCCCAAGCGGGTGCACAAGCTGCTTTGGGCCACTTCCACTGCTTTCCCAGGCCATAGCAGAGAGCTGGATCGGAAGCAGAGCAGCCAATACACAAACTGGTGCCCATATGGGATGCCAGCACTACAGGCGGAGGCTTTACCCGCTACCCCACAGTGCCAGCCTGCCCATTATTTTCAATCTCTCTTTTTTTCTTTAAACATATTCAACAGAGTTGTTTACACTCTGATCATTTTAATATCTGAATTCTTTTTTATGTCTGATTCTGGTATCTTTTACCTGTGGCACCTGGTTTCTCTGTGATTTCTGACTTAGATAGTCTCATGTTCCTGGAAACGTTATTTGTGGACGTTCTTGGGGCATGGACTGGAAACTGTTATCCAGAGAGGATTTGTGTTTGCCTCTGCATTTGTATCTGGCATACAAATAACCCCGGGCCTCTCTGGAATACATTTTCTGCTTGAGGGATTATTTCACTCTGTGTGTGTGTGTGTATGTGTGCGTGGTCTGTGTTTAGGTAGCGTGAAATCAAGCTAAAATGCATATAAGTGCTAGTTTGTGGTTATGCATTTTTATGAATTTTCAACAGAGATTTTCCCTCTTCCATCCTATACGTATAGTCAAGATGCGTTTTTGTTTTGTTTTGTTTTGTTTTGTTTTGTTTTTGCAGTCCTGTTCTGCATTGCAGCTTTATTTCATGCTCACCTTTATCTGGATAACATTGCCATTAGAGTCCCAACTTATGATAATGGTGATGTTTTAAATCAATTATTTTTAAATGGAAGACTTAGGAAACCATTGTATGATAACTAGAAAAAAAGGAAGATAAGATTCCTATATCATGCTTTAATATAAAATATATCCTAAAAATGTAAAGATAGGGGCTGACGCCGTGGCGCAGTAGGTTAAACCTCCACCTGCAGCACTGGCATCCCATATGGGCACTATGGCCTGGGAATGCACTGGAGGATGGCCCAAGTGCTTGGGCCCCTGTACCCACATGGGAGACCCGGAAGAAGCTCCTGGCTCCTGGCTTTGGATCGGCCCAGCTCCAACTGTTGCGGCCAACTGAGGAGTGAACCAATGGAAGGAAGATCTCTCTCTGTCTCTCCCTCTCTCTGTCTGTAACTGTGCTTCTCAAGTAAATAAATAAGTCTTTAAAAAAAATAAAAAGAAGAAGACTTTGAACAGTACCAGCCACAAAGGTAGCCTGGAGCAGAATCTACCCCACAACACACTTCTGACCTGTGCCCACCCTGTCGTGTTCCCAGGGTAAAGTAAAGGTTGATCCTGGCCAGCAGGAGCCTTCCAAGTGTTGAGATCCAAGGAGCATCGACCAAAGAGTCACGTGGAGGGGCTCTGGGGCTGGCCACCTTCAGCTACCTTCTAAATACATCTGGGAAGTCCTTTCATCTGACCCATGAGACTGGGAAACACTCGCCTGGTTCTTCTGCTACCTGTCCGCCTGGAGGAAGACACCTGCCACTCCATTCCGCCCGCTGCTCTCCAGCCCGGCCCCTGCAGGCTGCTCCTCTCTGTGCTCCACAGCCACAGCCCCACTGGAGGGGCAGGCACGGGAGTCAGCTCCCCTGCAGGATATCCTTCAGGCTAATGAGTCTACAGCAAAACCTCGGCTCCGGGCTAGGACAAGTTAACGCACAAGATAGGAGAAGGACATCTGCTTTTCTTCTCTTGCGAATTCCACTGAAATTATAAAGAAGTAGAAGTATTACTTCAAAGCAGCACAGGAAAACCAGAAAGGGTGCTTCCAGCAAGCAAACATCAGAACAAAAAATCTTTTAACAGAATGAAATACATGGTAATGATTGACAGAAAGATCTAGCAGGGTGGAAGACCCTAACATCATTAAAAGGAAGAGGGCATTCTATCTCTGTTAAGTAGATATAAATAACTGAACCGCACTCTTCAGATGCTACAGGGGGCAGGCATTCAGCCTAGTGGTTCAGTCTCTGGTTAAGACACCCACTCCCGGGGCCAGTGCTGTGGTGCAGCGGGTTAACGCCCTGGCCTGAAGCACTGGCAACCCATATGGGTGCCAGTTCGAGACCTGGCTGCTCCACTTCCTGTCCAGCTCTCTGCTATGGCCGGGAAAGCAGTAGAAGATGGCCCAAGTCCTTGGGCCCCTGCACCACGTGGGAGACCCTGGAAGAAGCTCCTGGCTCCTGGCTTCGGATCACCACAGCTCTGGCCATTGTGGCCATCTGCGGAGTGAACCATCGGATGGAAGACCCCCCCCCCCTTTCTCTCTCCCTCTCCTCTCTCTGTGTAACTCTTTCAAGTAAATAAATAAAATATTAAAAAAAAAAAAAAGACACTCCCTACATCGGAGTATCTGGGTTCATTTGCTGGCTTCAGCTCCCAGCTCCAGCTTCCTGCCAATGCTGACCCTGAGAGACAGTGGTGATGGCTCAAGTCGTTGGGTTCCTGCCACCCAATATATAAGACCAGGATTGAGTTCCAGCTCCCAGCTTTAGCCCAGGGTGTTTAGGAAGTGAAGTAGTGGACAAGAGCTCAGTCTCACTCCAATTATATATCTCTTGCCGTCTCTCTGGTACATAATAAAAATTAAGAAATTAAAAAAGACTCTTGGGACTGGTGTGGTGATGCAGCAGGTTAAGCTGCCTCCTGAGAACCCAGCATCCCATAAGAGAGCTGGTTGCTTTTTTTTTTTTTTAAGATTTATTTATTTGAAAGTCTGAGTTACACAGAGAGAGGAGAGGCACAGAGAGAGAGAGAGAGAGGGAGAGAGAGAGAGAGAGAGAGGTCTTCCATCTGCTGGTTCACTCTCGGCTTGGCCACAACTGCTGGAGCTGCACAAATCCGAAGCCAGGAGCCAAGAGGTTCTTCCAGGGTCTCCACGTGGGTGCAGGGGCCCAAGGACTTGGGCCATCTTCTACTGCTTTCCCAGGCCATAGCAGAGAGCTGGATCAGAAGTGGAGCAGCTGGGACTCTAACCGGTGCACATATGGGATGCCGGCACTGCAGGTGATGGATTTACCTGCTATGCCACAGCGCCAGCCCCAACAGTGCTGGTTTGAGTTCCAGCTGCTCCACTTCCTATCCAGCTCTCTGCTAATACACCTGGGAAAGCAACACAAGGTAGTCTCCATGTGGGAGACCCGGAGAGAGTTCCTCTTGGCCCAGCTTTGGCCATTACAGCCATCTGGGGAATGAGCCAGCAGATGGAAGATACTCTCTTCCTCCTCTCTCTCCCTCTCTCCCTCTGTCTCTCCCTCTCTCTCTGTAACTCTTCCTTTGAAATAAAAATAAGTAAGTCTTGGAAAATAAAATAATAATAATAAAAAAGGATCCTGACAAATCCTGGAATTGTTCCTGGAGCAGCGAGCTCCACCGCTTGGGCTCAGATGGGAGGTAAGTTCAAGTTTTCTGAAGCAGCTGTCCCAGCCGACCTGGAGCTGCCATCTGCAGAGGGGAGCCAGGCTCTTAGGAGTCTGTTGTGCATATCTCTTCCCAGCTGCCTGTTCAGTGATGTCACGGTGCTAGCTCCAAAGTGGCTAGGGCAAGAAATTCACATTGCGTAAAAATCAGGAAACGCTGCATGTTAGGACGTCCCCCGGCAGCCCAGAGCCGGGTGTTAAACATTCACCACTCTTGCCGCATGTCAGAGTCCGCGAAGGTGACAGGAAAAGGTCGATGCCCGCAGGGGCAGGGAGATCGTGCTCAGAAAACTCACCTGCTCAGCCCACCTGTCCCTACCCAATCCTGAGAGGCAGCTTCTGGTAATAAAAACTCGTATGCTCTGCTGGGCAAACAGAAGTTCTGCTTCAAGGGAGGAAATTCATTCCAGCTCCAAGTTTCGGTTTAGAATTGCACCTACAAATAGGAACAGAAGACCAAGAGTCAACAAACATTTTGGCCAAACCAAGAGCATGAAAAAGAGCACCAAATTCGGCGAATCGAACTAGCCTACTCTAAAAATGTTAACAGAACATGAAAAAGGTGAAAAGATGAATTAAAGATTAAAAGCTTTAAATTAAACACAGTCTATATCCTCAGAGTTAGTTGTAAGCATGTCACATTCAAACAAAACAATTCTAAAACACTGCCAGAATTTATGGACACTTAAAAACAGGATTGCTAAATCCAATAGTTGGACTGAATGAGCAATTAATTAATGGGTTGGAAAATGGAGCTCAGATATTCTTTCAAAATGGAATGCAGGGAAAGAAAGGGAGGAAGCAGGATAAAAGAATAATGTTAAGAAACATGGAGGTCCGGCGCCACAGCTCACTTGGTTAATACTCCACCTGCAGCGCTAGCACCCTGGGTTCTAGTCCCAGTTGAGGCGCCGGATTCTGTCCCGTTGCTCCTCTTCCAGGCCAGCTCTCTGCTGTGGCCAGGGAGTGCAGTGGAGGATGGCCCAAGTGCTTGGGCCCTGCACCCCGTGGGAGACCAGGAGGAAGCACCTGGCTCCTGGCTTTGGATCGGTGCAGCGCACTGGCTGTAGCAGCCATTTGTGGGGTGAAACAACGGAAAAGGAAGACCTTTCTTTCTCTCTCTCTCTCTCTCTCTCTCTTGCTGTCTAACTCTGCCTGTCAAAAAAAAAAAAAAAAAAAAAAAAAAAAAGGAAAGAAAGAAAGATGGAGAATAGATTTAACCAAAACTGTACAGGTATAGGACTATGAGAATAAAAGGAAGGACATTATCAAAGAAAGAACATTGCCCAGAACTAAAGAAAGACTTGGATTAAAAGGGTCTAGTAAATGCCAGGCAGAATTAATTTGCAAAATGATTATCGGAAGGTATGTAGCTATTAACATGACCAAGAGATATCAGGTCTTTTCTGCCTCCTTTTAGAAACCGCCCAAAAGTACCCAGCAGGCTGAGACACGGTGCTGCGAACTCTCTGTTGCGGAACCTGGCAGTAGGAAGAAGGACTCCCCGAGGCAGCAGAGGTCCACGCAGGGAGGCAGCCCCAAGAAAAGGCCAGCAGGGCCTGTGACTCCGAAGTCCAGCGTGGAGCCCTTTGTGGCAGCACCGGAAGGAGGCGCTGCTTGTGGGCACTTTTTTGGACAGTGTGGTGCGAAGACAGGGTAGAGGAAGTGAACTTAAGCAAGAGCTATCAGTGCTCATCATATTTTTCAGGAAGCAGCCTGCTGTTGACAAAGGAGGAGGAGAAAGACTACATTGTGACATCGCCTTGCCGCTGACCTCAAACAGGTTTCAGAGAAGCAAGCCTAAAGCAGCTGATTCACACACATACCCAGCGGCCATGAACACGCAGTCCTGGCCTCACACACGGTACTTCAGTCAAGAGATAAGGACTCACATTATTTAACGTTAATTTTCAAAACAAAAATAAAAAAGCTAACATAGGAAGAATGAAAAATGGGGGGAAAACGTAGGCAGAAAAAAAAAAAAACACCCTGGCAAAGTAAATGGCTGATAAAGCATTCTTACCACACAGCAGATAAAAACTGAGACCAGGGGCTGGGGCTGTAGTGCAGCAGGTTAAGCTGCAACCTGTGCAACATCACCAGCGTTCCACATGGGCGCCAGTTCGAGTCCCAGCTGCTCCACTTCTGATCCAGCTCCTTGTTAATGCACATAGAAAAACAGCAAAAGATGACCCAAGTGCTTGGGCCCCTGCATCCACATGGGAGGCCCCAGTGGAGTTCTGGGCTCCTGGCTTTGGCCTGGTTAAGCCCTGGCTGTTTGGGGAATGAACCATGGGATGGCAGATTGATCTCTCTTTTTTATTACTCTGCCTTCCAAATTAAAAAAAAAAAATACAATGAGGTATACAGAGGACAGGATTTATGTATTTATTTATTCTAGAGATTTATTCATTTATTTGAGAGGCAGAGTTACAGACACAGAGAGAGACATCTTCCATTGGCTGGTTCACTCTCCAAATGGCCACAACGACCAGAGCTGGGCCGATCCGAAGCCAGGAGCCAGAAGCTTCATCAGGGTCTCCCACATGGGTACAGGGGCCCAAGCACCTGAGCCATCTTCCTCTGCTTTTCCAGGCCATTAACAGGGATCTGGTACCCTTATGGGATGCCTGTACCATAGGCAGCGGCTTTACCCACTACACCACAGCACCAGCCCCTATTTACTAATTTTTAAAGATTTATTTGTTTATTTGAAAAGCAGAGTTACAGAGAGAGAGAGAGAGAGAGAGAGAGATTCCATCTGCTGGTCCATTCCCCAAATGGCCTCACTCGTCAGGACTGGGCCAGGCAGAAGCTGGGAGCCTGGAACTCCTTCTGGGTCTCCCACATGGGTGGCAGGTCCTCAAGTACTTGGCCATCTTCTGCTGCTTTTCCAGGCGTAGTAGTAGAGAGCTAGATGAGAAAAGGAGCAGCTGAGACTCGACTGGTGCCTACATGGGATGCCAGCACCGCAGGCGGTAGCCTCACCACAATGCTGATCCCTCAAATATTCTTTTGAATTCCACCTTAAAGATCATTTCTGGGGATGGAGAGCATTGATGTAGTGATTAAGACACTGCTTGATGGTCTGTGTCTCTGAATTTTGAATAAAAAGTGGAAATAAATAGAAATGATCTTTAAAAGATATAGTAAATTGATTTGATTTCAAAAAAAAAGTAGTTGGCTTTTTGGACAGAAGCGTTGGGAAAATGAAGTTAAAAAGGAAAAGCAAGTGCTAGGTCTAGGTCTCCCATCTGGGTAGCAGGGACCCAGCTAAGGGAGCCACCACCGGCCGCCTCCCAGGGTGTGCATCAGCAGGAAGCTGGAATCAGGACTGGAGCCAGAAGTGGAACCCAGTCATTCCAATTTGAGCTGTGGGCATCCCAAGTGGCATCTGGACTGCTATACCAAATGCCCAGCTTCTTTCCTTTTAATATTTAAGTTTATATATTTTTAATTTTTCAATATTTATTATTTATTTGAAAGAGTTAGAGAGCAAGAGGGAGTAAAAAAAGAGATTTTTTACCCTATGGTTCATACCCCAGATAACGGAAACAGCCAGGGCTGAGCCAGGCTGGAGCCAGGAGTTTCATCTGGGTCTCCCATATGGGTGGAAGGGGTCCAAGCCCTTGGGCCATCTTCCACTGCTTTTCCCAGGCCATTAGCAGGGAACTGGATTGGAAGTGGAGCAGCCAGGACATGCACTAGTGCCCATTTGGGATGCTAACAGGCAGCGGTTGTCAGCTGCTCTGCCCCAATGCCAGCCCCTATTTATCTATTTTTAAATAGGCAGTAGTCAGAAGAAAATAGCAAAGGTGCAAAAAGTGAGTTGCCTTTATACTGTTGTCCTCAAGTTCAAAGGATCACTGCTACCAGTTTCTTATGTAGACTCTTTGCAGACATGGAATACGTAGACTCAAGAAAATACAATAGAGGCTGGCGCTGTGGCGCAGTGAATTAAAGTCTTGGCCTGAAGTGCTGGCATCCCATATGGGCACCATTTCTAGTCCTGGTTGCTCCACTTCTGATCCAGCTCTCTGCTATGGTCTAGGAAAGCAGTAGAAGATGACCCAAGTCCTGGGGCCCCTGCATCCACATGGGAGACCCGGAAGAAGATCCTGGCTCCTGGCTTTGGATCAGCACAGCTCCAGCTGTTGCAGCCATTTGGGGAGTGAACCAGCGGATGGAAGACCTCTCTCTACCTCTCTCTGTAACTCTGTCTTTCAAATAAATAAAATAAATCTTTAAAAAATACTTAAAAAAAAAAAAAAGAAAATACAACAGATGGGGCCAGCCTTGTGGCCCTGTGCCACCAGTGTCTCACATGGAAGAACTAGTTTGAGTCCCAGCTGTTCCACTTCTGATCTAGCTCCCTGCCTATGCACCTGAGAAAGCAGTGGAAGATGGCTCACACATTTGGCCCCTGCCCCTCATGTGGGAGACCCAGATGGAGTTCCAGACTTCTAGCTTCTACCTGGCCCAGCTCTGGCTGCTGTGGCCATCCAGGGAGAGAACCAACAGATGGAAGATCTCTCTGTCTCTCTGTCTCTCTCTCTCTTTGTAGCTCCTCATTTCAAATAAATAAATATTTAAAGAACAGACAGTATACATAGATTGTATTCCTTCACTTCATTCGCCTCCCTAGAGAACCCTGAATTGAATTTTTTCTCTGAAATTGCACCTCCCATCACTCCCCCTTCTTAATAATATCAATAGCTTATGGCTATTGTATCTGCTATATTTCAGGCACTGCTCTCAATGATTTATGATTTTAACTTATTTACTTCTTACAGCAATGCTTTAAGTTGATACTGTTGTTATTTGAAATGCAGAGTAGTAGAGAGGTTGAGGGGGTGGAGAGAGATAGATATTGAGATCTCATCCACTGATTTATTCTCCAAATGTCCACAACATCCCAGGCTAGGCTAGGCCAAAGTCAAGAACAAGGAACTCCACCCGTTTCCCAAGTACTTGAACCATCATTTTTTTTTCACTGCTGCTTATCATACACCTAACACAGTGCCAAAACACAGTAAAATGTTTGTTTGTTGAATGAATGAATGGGCAGCTATACCTTCAGAGCTATCTACACTATTTTTCCTCCCAAATGGAAGCCCACATGTAAACCGAAAAGCAAGAGACAATGTATTTTTGAGGGAGAATAAAGAAAGATGAACCCTTCCCAACCACCAACATCAACATAATCACACGTACTTACCTGCAAAGAAAAGGCAAATGAGGAAGATGCTACAAAGCACAGAGTATTGCTTCCTGTGACAAGGTATAAACCACTTGTTCTAAATGATGTATCAGGGAATATGGCAGAAGAAAGAAATATACATGAGATTTATAGAAAGTTATGGTTTGGCAACTTTTTTTTGGAGGAGCTATTTGAAGACAGATTGGAATACAAGAAAGAAGTGATTTTTAGCTGGCATGTGGGAGGTGGGAAGAAAAAAATAACATACATTTTTTGGACCTGGATGGAAAAAAATATAACTAGTCAATGACAGTTTGTTCTTAAAGCACTGTAAAGAAAAGTACATGGAGGCATCTGTTATCCACTGGAATTTAGAGACTCAAAGCAACATCTCATTTCACTACCTTTGGACCTCGCCAGCTGGACGCAGAGCGGCTACCTCCCTGCAAGTTGTTGATCAGAATCTGTGGTCTTTCTTACGGGTTTTGGTAGACAGCATTACAGCCATGTCTGGGAGATCTGGTTTTGTTTCCTTCTCCTTATAAAAAGGGACTTGTTTTTCATACAATGACCAGATGTCCTGTTTAGGGTGGGTTCACCTTAGATTTTGATTAGAATCTGAGTTTTTGAACAATTATATTTTTGCACGTTGCAAGACTGACAGGAGAGAAAAGACTTTTTAAACAGCAAGAGAGAAATTCCTTGAAGTTGTTAGGGATCTTTACAAGTTAGCCCTCTCATCCACGTAGAACACCTGGAATAGGGAGAAAGTAACCAAGGAAGGAAAAGTGAGTAACCTGGCGAACACTGACACATTGGCTAACAAAAAACAACCCACAGCTAAAGCCCTGTGGATGAGAAAAACTGTCACTTTGGGGATTGCTCTCCTTTTGCCAGGTGTTGTTGCTTGAATCTCACCTCCCAGCACTTTGTTCCTTCCTCTCTCTTGTACTGATGAAGCAGCAGTGGCTTCCACTTGTTCTATGACCTTGGGCCACCCTTTCATTTCCCTGGAGGGTATTTTTCTCATCTGTAGGAAAGGGATAACAGTGTCCAGGAGGTTTCTGATATGCAGAACTAAACTGACATGTGGTAAGAATTCTTGTTTTTTTCTGAGTAACTGAGATCCTATCAGCCTTATCAGCCAGGCCCTGTGTCCTTTCCTCTACGAGGGCTTCATTTCTCATTTCGGCAGTCATCCCTCTTTTTCTTCTGCTTTGGCTCCTGCCTGCTGGCCCCCAAGCTCCCCTCCTTCAGTCTCATCTTAATGCTCCTCCCCGTCACCCCCTGTCCACCTCAGCACTTTCTGGTTTCACTGCTCCCTTTCATAGTGAAACTTCTTCTTCTTCTTCTTCTTTTTTTTTTTTTTTTTTTTTTTTTTTGACAGGCAGAGTGGACAGTGAGAGAGAGAGAGAGAGAGAGAGAGACAGAAAGGTCTTCCTTTGCCGTTGGTTCACCCTCCAATGGCCACCGCGGCCAGTGCGCTGTGGCTGGTGCACCACGCTGATCCGATGGCAGGAGCCAGGTACCTATCCTGGTCTCCCATGGGTGCATGGGCCATCCTCCACTGCACTCCCTGGCCACAGTAGAGAGCTGGCCTGGAAGAGGGGCAACCGGGACAGAATCCGGTGCCCCAACCGGGGCTAGAACCCGGTGTGCCAGTGCCGCAAGGCAGAGGATTAGCCTAGTGAGCCGCGGCGCCAGCCCAGTAGTGAAACTTCTTGAACTACTTGTCTCTACTTGTTATCTCACTCTTCTCTTTTGCCTCCACTTGAATCTGATTTCTGTCCCATTTCAAAGAACCAGCACGTGCCAAGGCCTCTTCCATTCTGCCTAAATCAAATTGTCATTTCTTAAGGTACATTACCTGTGACACAGAGCCAGGGAGAGCCAGGGAGATCTTCCATCCATTGGTTCACTCTCCAGTGGCCACCATGGCCAGCTCTGGGCCAGGCTGAAGCCAGGAGACTGGAACTCCTCCCGGTTTTCCACTTGGGTGGCGGGGGCCCAAGCACTTGGGCCATCTTCTGCTGCTTTCCCAAGTGTATTAACTGGGAGCTGGATGGAAAGTGAAGCAACTGGTACTTGAACAAGGGCTCACATGGGATGCTGGTGTCACAGGGGCAGCTTACACCTGTGCTGCAATGACCGTTTCTTAAAAACATTTTCTGCTGTTGGCTTTCATGTTCTCTCTTTCTCTTGGTGTTTTTTTTTTTTTTTTCTTTTATGTTACTCTCCATTGCTGGTTTATCCACTTCTGACCTCTAAATGTGAGTATGCTCCCTACCTGGGCCTCTGTTCCTCTTCCTCCCTTCCACCTCCCTGTCTGTCTTTGTTTTCCTCTTTTCCATGTGAGCTCGTAAAGCTCATCTAAAGAGGCTGATGATCCCCCAGCTTGAACCCACCCTGTCATGAGCGCCCAAATCCAATTGCCTGGTAGACATTTTTGCTGACATTTCCAACAGGAGCATTGAACTTAACAAATCCAAAACAGAGCGCTGGAGTCTTTCCCTAGACAAGATTATCTCCTTGTCTTTTCCACCTCTGCGATATCTGCAAACACCTACCTAAGGCTCAACTCCTAGAACCACCCTCGATTTCTTTCTTCCCTTCATACTTCATATCTAATGCAATATCAACCTCTGTCAACTTTACCTTCAAAATAGATCTTGAGCCTGATCCCCTCTTGCCACTTCTACCGCTGTCACCCAGTCACTGTGAGTTTTTAAAACATAAATCAGATCACATGGCTCTGCTCTTTCAAACCCCTCCCCCCAGCTTCCTCTTAGAGCACAAAGCGACCTCCCCATCTTTGACTGGAGTCTGCCTCCCCCTCTGACCTCTCTTTTTCTTCCTCCACTGCACTCCAGCTACGCCGGCCGCCTACCCAGGTACTTAATCAAATCAATCTCACTGCTGCCTCCGGAGCTGTCAATCTTCCATGTGGACTTCTTTGCAGATTTCTGCATGTCTGTTCCTTTTAGCTTATTCAGCTCTCTTCTCAAATGTCACTTCCTTAGGGAAGGCTTTTTGGCCATTCTAAGTAAAGAAGCTTCTCTCCCTACCATAATGTACCTCAATTATATTCCATAGCATGTATTGCTATCCAAAACGGTCTCATTTATTCTTATTCTTGTGGTCTATCTTCCCACACTAAGGAAGTACCACAAAAACAGCAAAATCATTTGTCTTGTTCATCAGGACTTAAAAAATGGCCTAGCTCGATAGAGATGCTCCATAAATGTTTGTTAAAGACAAAGTCACATGTGCCTAACACTGGCCACACTGTGTTACTGTTGAAATGTGGTGCTGTAACGTGGGCAGAAGGTGCTAGTCCGGGGTGTCTTGGTCCATTTTTCTATTGCTATTATAATATATTCTAGGCTAGGTGCTTTGTAAAGAAAAGCAGCTTATTTAACTCACAGTTACAGAGGCTCAGTAGCATGGCAGAAGCACCTGCTTGGCTCTGGTGAGGGCCTCATGGCAATGGCATCACAATGGCAGGAATGTGTGTGAGAGTGCTGAGTGGCTCGTGCAGAAGGGGGCTTTCTGGAGAGGTGCTGGCTCCCTTACATCAATCTATACTCACAGGAACTAACCCTGTCCCCAGATTTCAGTATTAATCCCTTCCAAGAGCACAGTTCCTATGACCTAATTATCTTCCACTGGGGCTCACCTCCACATCACCACACTGGAGGCCAAACCTCCAGCATGTGATCTCTGAGGGGAAAGCCATATCCAACCCAAAGGAGCAAGTGACTCCTAGTCCTATTCAGGCTTCAACACGTCTTCAAGGGTGACCAGTCTTCTTGCTTCGGTCTTAGCTCAGCCAAGGATGTTTCTTGCAAGGGGTCCTGTGTTACAATTCCTAGTGTTCCGTTCTTTCAGTTCACATAAGCAGTCATCTCCAGGGAGCCAGGGAGCCCCAGAAGTTGCTCTGGATTCCACTACCCATTGGACTCCAAATCGCTGTGCTAATGGAATATACCTTTGGTGATCCCAGGGCTGTGTTCCTGTCATTTTGCTTGAAAGAAAGAAAGAAGGAAGGAAAGAAGAAAAAGAAGAAAGAATATAAAGAACACAAACTAAATTTCTCCAAGATATCAGGCTGGACCAGTGATTCCCTAATTTAGTCATTTAACAAGTGTTTGTCAGTTGGCAGCTAAGTACCAAGCACTCCCGTGCTAACATTATTATTTTAACTGTCATCCTCTTCATCATGAATCTGGGTGAGATTGTCAGTTTCTTAAGAGCAGACAAGACACAGTTTTTTCACTCAACAAGTGCTGAGTGAATGTCTACAGCCTTAATCAATGGAAGAAAGAGAGTTAATGAAAGAGGATGAAGAAGTTCAGGCCCAGTTGCATTTGTATTCAAATGAAAACAAAGGACAGGGATTGCTCTCTAAATTTTAGAATGTTATTATATTATAATAAGTTTTAAATGTTTGGTAATTGTAGTCTACCCCACCCACACATACACTTTTTTCATTTTTCCATGTTTTTTTTTTGTCTTATTACTTTATATTTTTCACATATTTGCAATTTTAATATATTTTCCATGTCATCTTCTGCCTTTCCACCTTACATTAATGACAAACTTATTTTTTAAAAAAGATTTATTTATTTGAAAGGCACAGTTAGAGAGAGACAGAGGAAGAGACAGAGAAAATCTTCCATCTATTAGTTAACTCCCCAAATGGCTGCAATGGCCAGAGCTGGGCCAGGCTAAAGCCAGGAACAGGGAGCTTCTTCCAGGTCTCTTATGGGGATGCAGGGGCTCAAGCACCTGGGCCATTTTCCACTGCTTTCCCAGGCACATTAGCAGGGAGCTGGATCAGAAGTGGAGCAGCTAGGTAAGGAACCAGCACCCACATGGGATGCCTGTGTTGCAGGCAGCAGCTTAACCTTCTTCACCACAATGCCAGCCCCAATGACAAACTTCTTTGCATGTTTTTACATTATTATTATTTTTTTTTACTTTTCAGTAATTTCTCTTTTCTTACTTTTTTTTTTTTTTTTTGACAGGCAGAGTGGACAGTGAGAGAGAGAGACAGAGAGAAAGGTCTTCCCTTGCCGTTGGTTCACCCTCCAATGGCCGCCGCTGCAGCCGGCGCACCGCGCTGATCCGATGGCAGGAGCCAGGAGCCAGGTGCTTCTCCTGGTCTCCCATGGGGTGCAGGGCCCAAGCACCTGGGCCATCCTCCACTGCACTCCCTGGCCATAGCAGAGAGCTGGCCTGGAAGAGGGGCAACCGGGACAGAATCCGGCGCCCCGACCGGGACTAGAACCCGGTGTGCCGGCGCCGCAAGGTGGAGGATTAGCCTATTGAGCCACGGCGCCGGCCTCTTTTCTTACTTTTGAAACCCCTATTGGGTTCCCTGTGGTGACCAGCAGTGTGACCCCTGAACAACCTGTCAGATGTTGCTCTTCTCCCACAAATAGTAAGACATGGGAGCCCTTGGGAGAGTACACGTCCTCCTGGAGCAGAGAGGGTGCCCCATCAGGAAACGGGCTGTCCATGTGGTGCACTCAGGACAGAAGAAAGGTGTGCCTGACATTGCACTGGGCAGAGGACGTGCTGTGCAGAACGTGTTCAGCTCTGTTCTGCAGCTCTATTAATGTGGTTCTGCCTCTTGGCCCCCGCATAGCAATCTGCCTGCCTACCTTCTGCTAAGCTTTTGCTTTTCTTGCTGTTTTGCATAAAGCTTTTGCTTTCAACACCCTCTACCCTTCTACCGAGTAAGGAAAACAAGTGAATACTGGATTCAGGGACCTGCATGCTTCTTTTCTGCTTTAATGAGTACAGCTCTTTTGCCACCTGTCAAGTGTGAGTACACAGAAGGCCTCCTGCACCGGACACAGGATGCTGTGAAGAAATTAGAGGGGAGGAGGCTTTGGGAGCTGCTCCTCCACCACTCTCATCCTGCAAACAGGAGGAAGATTTGCAAAATTACAGTGGAAACAAATAAGGAAACGTGTTGTGCTTTCAGAGCATTTTTCTGAAGTGGAAACTTGTTGTAAACGCAGTTTTGAGGAAATGTGTCTGAGATTAAGTGGTGATTAACATGTTGTGAGCTGTGAACCCAGGACCGCGATTGGGAGGAGACGAGAACCAAGGAATGGGAGGAGGAAGTGCTCTGGGTTCCTTGCCTGAGACTGGCTGTCAACTGGAGACAAGCCAGGTTTTGTAGAATAGAATATAGACTTAGGTTATTTTGTGCAAATTCCACCCCTTGCCCCATTTTTTAAAAGGTTTATTTATTTATCTCAAAGGCAGAGTTAAAGAAAGAGAGAGAGAGAGAGAGAGAGAGAGAGAGAATCTATCCATTGGTTCTTTCCCCAATTGGCTGCAATGGCCA